TCGCATCGAGCGTGTTACGCATCGAGCATATTACGCTGTGTTCTAAAATCGGCGTAACATGCTCGTCAAAACTCTGTGCTCCGCTTTCGCCAGTGTCCACGAGATGGCCAACAGCGTGGACGTGTTGATATCTTTCATTCTATTTAATTATTGTTTCATCCAAATTAAGAAGAAGAAGAAGAAGAAATGTTACTGGACATCAAACTTATTTAAAAACACAGGCGTATGAGGTGGTTTGTTATTGATTGCAATATTAAAAAACGGAATGATTACTGGACAGTATAAAACCTTTGTACGCATGTCTCGATTTTGAAGAACTGTTGAATTTAATTGGACCAAAAGTACTCAAAAAAGACACAATTTATATAAAATCATAATCATGATCACTCGCGACGTTCAACGGGTACTGAATGAACCGCGTAACAGTCAAAGGATTCGCTGAAAAACCGACTCGTTGCTCGCTGGTTTCCCCGTAACACGACGTACTGACTGCACGAATACTCGCTGTGTAACGTGTTACATTACAACTCGTAACTTTGGTCAGTTCCCACCTTAAGTCGAATTGGTTCGGAAATACGTCTGTGGGCAGCTGATTCCACATAGTCCGGTTGTGGGCGGAAAAAAGTTTAAAAGCGCTCAGTTATAATACATCAATAATATATTAAAAGCCAAGAAACTGAAAATAAATACAATTACATTATTAAAACATCTGTGGTGTACTTATGTACACGCGTTAGAAGTTATACTTCTTTGACGTAACAAGATAAAAATCTTTTTACATTTTTTACATTTTTTATCTTTCACCTTATTCTACGTTTGTAGAAAAAACGACACTAATAATAGAAGAAAGGTATTATTAGTATATTAAAAGTTTTATTATAACGCATTATCTAGTTATATAAAGTTTATTTAAATATCACATTAAAAAATGTTTCTACATATTGAAAGAAATGGACCTTATTTTAAAATGTTGACTATGCAAACTTCAGGGTGTCGGCTTTTTGTGACGGTGTGCGCGCGCATGGTAAATTAATTTTCCTAACGCGCCAGAAGAATCACTTCAAAAATTACATATACTTAAGTAACATAGCCTCGACGTCTAAACAAAAGGCAATTATCAGTAACGGATTAATTACACCCACAACATAGGATAGTCATTGTTTACGTCACAATAGGGTGTCGTGAAATGACGTTACAAATTTTTTCCGGGATCTTTCTCAAATTATATGACGTAATATTCGCTACGTCGTAGCGGGTCTACGTAAGTGGCTTTGATATTTTTTAACAACTTGCGTTAAAGAGATTTCTTAATTGCCATAAATATTCACCGAAGCAGTGAGAATAGTTAGAAGGAAAGGTTTGTTCGTTTACGTGCTTATAAAGAAAAATGACAAGTGATTGTATTTGTCGCCCATTTTGTTTATAATGTATAAAAATTGGAATTCTCCTCAACACATCTGAAAAATATCGCTGGTTATAAAACACATATTCACTTTGTAAATTCTATGTGTTTCTTGTGTCATGTACTTCAAGTTAATATATATAGGTAGAAGCATCATTTCGCTTTAGCTGAAGGAAATCAATAAAATGTATTTTTAAGATAAGATCTCATGAAGCGGCTTTTATACATACATTCAAATTTCTTAAAAGCCGGCAACGCACTTGCTTCAAGGCTGAATGAGTGTCATGTGGAACATGGTGTAATGGTTGCAGCTCCTTACAAACATTTTGTAATACATAAAACTTGGCAATTAAAAAGAGAGACGGAGAGTTTATTGCCAGTTCTTCTTGTCTGTTCTACGCCCTTGATTTCAGAACAGACAGTAAATGTTAAATTAGAAGCATTTAGCATTTAATATGTATTTCTTTATTGACGTTCATACGAGTAAGTGTACATCGTGTTAATAAATGATTTTGAATTAGAATTTTAATGAGTTTACGCCGCTGACTCCTGGGTAGAAAGTGCAGTCCCAAGGGTCTAGTTCGGCCTTGTAAAGATGGATTCAGTGGGTATTGCTCACCCGGTTGTATCACGAGTAGACATTATGTTAAGGCCAAGTTACACAGGGTTTGTACAAATGCATTTTAACCACTTTTTGTTTATTAGTACTCACCGCAATTGCAAGAATACCGCCATACCGCCGTAAACCTGCAAATTATTTTTTTCGCCAACTCCCATGTATGTATACATGTGTATAGCATTATCATACTTCTATTTATGATCATACAGGTACTGTTGAAAAATTTTAGGCTGCTACAAATCGTTTGCCAAAAAAAATGCTGATTTTCTGCGGTATGGCGGCCATTTGCAACCGTCCGAAAAGTATGGTATGGTGATTTTCGTAAATGGCTGCACGACGATCATTAACTGTGCAAAAATTAGCCTGGTACAAATGGTTTTTTTTAAATCAACGCATCCGCGTCGGAAGCGGGCTGTAAGTGACACCGGAGAAGTATGGCATGACACTGCCGCCTCAGATTTTTTTATGGACTATCGGAAAATACTAGAATTTTTGTGGAACAAATCGTGTGAAAGTCGTAATAAATCCCACGAGTTCGACTAATGCCCACATGATTGGGCCGCTGGTACCAGCACCATGACCGTCATTTTTCTTTTTTTCATTTCGTATTAAGACCCCTGAAGAACCGCCATACTGGTACAAATGACCCACTATTTTGTGTCACTATCTCCCGGCCTAGGGGGCAAACCTACGGGACGCCCAGAAAGGAACCATACCCATTTCAGTGGGTGCGTTGCCGGCCTTTGAGGGAGGCCTATACTCTTTTAAACAATTGGAGGTCGTACCGGGAATCGATTACACAGTTCGCTAGTTTGCAAAATAAAATGTCTTGTGATGCGGACAAAGGTGATTTTTAAGTTTATTGCCTTTATGTATTTATAATAATAAGGATAATATAGTTTGATATCTCCTTTCCTTAAAGGCACAAAAAATTACTTTTACGTCTATAATTAAGATTCACTTACGTCAATACGATACGGTCGTCGCATTGCAGTTAAAAGCTTTCTCGAGACATAACAATCATTTTATAAAGGTTGTCGATCTTCAAAGCATACACCCATTATTGCCCGCGGCTTTAAACACGTGTATAAAAAAAACACCAGTGGCTCTACAACCTTTTTGGGTTTAGTGCCAAATTTTTGTATGTTTCATGATCATTTCTCAATCTAATAGGCAAGTAGGTGACCAGCCTCCAGTGTCCGACAGACTCGACTCGGGTCTACGGCAAGTCGGTTTTCTAGCGATGTTTTCCTTCACCGTTCGAGCGAATTAAATGCGTACATAGACAGAAAGTCCATTGGTACGTGGAAAGCGCAGCCGGGGTTCGAACTTACGGCCCCAGAGATGAGAGTCGCACGCTGAAACCACTAGGCCAACACTGCTACTATGAAAAGAACTGTTCTGTATACGTGCTAAGTCTTTAAGAAGTTTCACTTCAAAAATACTAACTATACAATTTCAAAAATTTTAACTCTCGTTTTGATGCATTACTGATACTTGACGAAAATAAAATAAAAATGTTGTGTGATGCTCTTAGAAGCGGGTTTACATTGCTACTTCACTAATCTGAATGGTTGATCCCCCTTTTTTCGTCTTGCGTCATCAGAAGTGGTCCTCTAAGATTCGCAGGATTAAAAAAGGTGGTTGTGATGAGACAATAATACATTCTAAACTATTTTCCAAATACGTAATTTAAAAAAAAGGCATTTCTACCACGTAAAGTTTGACGACTCATTGGTCTAGTGATTAGTACCCCTGACTGCGAATCCATGGGTCCCGGGTTCGATCCCCGGCTGAGACGAACATCGATGTGATGAGCATTTGGTGTTGTGCTTAGGTATTGGGTGTTTAAATATGTATTTATATGTCTATCTATCTATAATATGTATACGTATGTATATCCGTTGCCTAGTACCCATAACACAAGCTTCACCAGCTTACTAGGGACTAGGTCAATTGGTGTGAATTGTCTTTAAAAAAAAAGCAGATCCGGAGGGATTGTTAGTGTGAATATAAAATTGTGATTGTATTGTCCTTAATGGTAATAAGAATTGGAATTCAAGAATCTCTTTGTAATACGATAAACAAGACAAATGCAAATGGAATTTCTAAATAAAATCCTTAAGTAATATGATGTGACATTTTAAGAGCTGCGTTTCTTTGAGATTGTTAAATTGTTGATTGATTCATGGCTTCTGTACGATCTTCCACAGAGTACAATAATTGTGTAATGCCAGAGTAAAATAATGATAATAAACAAAAGATGTGACAAAACGGATTTGGTAATAAAACTATAATTTACTAAGCAATTATTTAATACCTGTCACGTCTTATCAATATATCTGTGTGATTTTAATTAAACTAATGATTTGTTCCGGTAAAATTTAAGAATATTTTATAATTTGTTTAGACATCTTAAATAAATAAATTTCAACGCGTTTAGCGAAATGCATTGTAACTAAACTTTAGTTTTACTGAAAATAATCTAATATATAAAATTCTCGTGTCACAATGTTCGATCCCATACTCCTCCGAAACGGCTCGACCGATTCTTATGAAATTTTTTATGCATATTCAGTAACTCTGAGAATCGGCTACTATCTATCTAAAGTTTATATATCGATACCTTAATTGGCAAACCAGTTAACTCCATACAAGGAAATTTTTCAGGAGACACTTAAAATGTTATAAAATTTTTTGTAGACTACTTATGAAAAAATTTAAAATACCGTTGGTAGATATTATCGTAAACTGTTATTCTCAATACTATATAATCCTTTATACCGTTTCATTACAATACTGCAGCGTTTTTAGGAGTTATCCGTTTTTCCTTTTCTGTAAAAGTATGTGGTCTAGGAGTTAGCTGATTTGCTCGATAGATTAATTTAAAAAACGTTTTTTTTCAAAGTTTTAATTAAAAGAAAGTATACTTAAAAATAATCATATATTGATAAAGACAACATTAAATAGTACACAATTTTAGGCTTCATGAGGAAGGTTGTCATAATAGTTTTGGTAATCTCTTGGCATTGAATTTTTTAATTGTTGTAAATCTAAATATTTTTTTTTTGTAATTTTCCTGCGTTCATTGTACAGGTCAGGTAAATTATGAAAAGGAATGTTGTTAATTCGGGCATTCCTACGTTGATTGAGCAGTTTATAATCTTCAGTTAATTTAAGCTTATAAAATATTTCTCTAGATGGTGTATATTTAAGAGCTCGTATGTCGGTAACCTGGAAAAGAGAAACAGAACTTAACGTATCAATCCAATATAGTAATATTAATAAATTAAATGTAAGTAATTTATGTACCTTAGGATCTCCTTTCATTTTTCCTGGTCTTATCGAGTTGTAAAACTGTAAGTTTTTAAAGTTCCTGAAGTAAGAATAGTTTAGGTATTCAACTATATATGGTTTGGATTTTTTTGCATTCTTGCAAATAGTGATGTACTCGGCTGGAACATTTATGACTTGATTTTTTAGTTTTTTTTCTATCATTGCGTGCATACTGTCAACCTCCATTTGGGTGTGACCTACTTCCAAATATTTTTGCTCAATTGTCACATTATGCAGCATGGCTATGTTGAGGAGAGCGTTGCTTAAAATGACGTTTCTGTTTTGATACGTACACCCATCCGTATACAAGGTTATGTATCTGTTGTCATCTCCCATTTTCGGGATTACTTTATCTGTAAAGAAATTAGATAAAATCGTTGCGAACTCATCAGAATTCAGCCCACCTTCGACCTCATTCCATAGAAAGCAATACCCATCGCTAGTTTTCATGTCATAAATGCACCAGTTGTGGACACATAGCTTAGTCTTGTAGTAATTTGATGACACATTGGACCGCGGCGCTAAAAGTACTGCTTGTAGGTCTGCACTAAAGACAAATTCCTTTTTTTCTTTATCAGATTCTTTTTCCATTCTCGCTTCGTTCTTTTTATTTACATGGTCGTCATAAGTCTCTTTGGTAACATGGCCCAGCTTGTATCCATTACAGATGTCACACAAATCTTTCTTCGGTTTAAATAAAGCTATTTTTTGTATGGTTAGGGTGTTTGTAAAAGTGGCTATAGATAGTGCTTTTTTGTGTTTTGATGCACAATAGTCTGTATATATTTTATAAAGTTGCTGTTTGGATGAAATGTCTGGTTGTATATATGTCTGGGTTGTCCTTTTTCTACAATAATGTGAAGGCATTTTAGGTAACTCATCTAAAAACTCCTGCAACATTTTAATTTCTTGGTCAAATGGCTTTCTGGGAGGAGTTTCTGGTAATTTTTCATCCGTATTCTTTCCTGTAACTTCAATCTTCCAACCCCAGATACACGATTTACCAATGGATAAAGTATTTAGAAATAACGTTTTACAGACTCTAATCATATCTTCACCTTTTTTTAGATGGTAAATAAAAGTGTTAACTCTTTTAGATTTTTGAGGATCCTTCCTATCTCTTTGCCTATTTGTATGTACAATTTTTACTAAATTATCAACGTAAACTCGTTTTTCATCCCAAGTCAATTTCCAAAATTTATCAAATAATATTTTTCTGTCATCTTCAGAAATACTATGACACTGAATAACACTGTTTCCCCTTTCCTTACAACTACACCGAGGCTTCAAAACCTTTTTTGGTTTCTTTATATTTTTTTTCCACTCTCCATCAACTTTTTTCTTACCGCAATATTCTTTACCCTTTTCTCTATTCTTTTTATTAACTTCACTACTCCAATCTTCCTTTTTTACTTGACACCTTTTCTTTCTTTTTATTACCGGTTCATCCGGTTCAGAATCAGAATCACTGTAATCAACTAATTTATTCATTAATTCAGGACAGGCAGTTGGGATTTGAGGTATACTTTCATGAGCTGTTAGTTCTTCCTGTGTCAAAGGAACGATCAAATTGTCATTACTTGTAGAGGGGTACGCATGAGTTGGTTCAAAACTATTAGAGGCATTTTCAGGATTGTAGTTAAGTGATGGTGAAAGGTGAGGATATAGCAAACTTGGACTGAGTTGTTCTGTTTCGGGCGGAATCATGTCTTCAATAACAACATTCTCAACTATTTCATAATATGTCTGCGTCTTAAAACAACTTTGATTATCGGAAATGTTATTGCCGAGCAATTGAGGGGTATATGTGTACTGCACGCCAGGCTGTTCATTTTCAATACAGTCAATGTAGCCATTATCAAAGTAAGTCGATGAAGCAGAATTAGAAGCTACGCTATCAACCAAAGTGTCGTAGGGTTTTGGGAACTGGTTATTAACAAACAAAACAGAGTCAGGGTTATTGGTTTCATCAAGCTCATGCTGTTCATTTTGCATGCTCAATTGCAGTATTTTTTGAGCGCGTGAATTGGACATCTGCATGAAAAACAAATAAAAACCATCACCATAAGCACAAAATTTAACCAAAAATTAAAAAAAAAAACTATAAAGGAAATTTTAAATATAAAAAATAATTCATTAAGTGCAATCATTTAAAAATCGTTGAATAATATTAAATTAGTTGACAATAAAAACATAATTTGATTTTTTTTGTATAAACAAAAATGGATAACTCCCAACACTAGTGTAAAAAAGTAAGAAGCAAAGCGGCCAACTCCCAGCCAATAATAAATGTTAAATTACTTAATTAACTAGCAATGTTTTGTGAAAAAGTAAATAATTATACATACCTTGTATTAATATTCAACTGTTTTTCAAAGCCACCTCTCCTTATGTCGCGTTTAAACAATTTTTCTACCACAAAACGCAGAGCGGTAACCTTACTCGACTCGGACGCCATACAAAATGGCCGACTTAGTGGAGTTGGCTGTCAAAATCGTAACGTTCCATGACACGCGGAGTTGGCTGATTTTCGAATAGCGATTTGTGGAAAGAATGTAATTACTATCGGAGTTGTCTTTTTTGCAAATCACGCCGAATTAAGCCACGTACAATCTGAATCAAAAAAGTATTTTTGACGAAAAGTGGAGTTGGCCGGTTTGCCAATTAAGGTATCGATATACAGAAAAACCTAAAAAGTTTTCATTCCGGAAAACCGAACAGTGTCTGGGGTAGCATAGCAAACTGTTACATGTTGGTAAGTACTAAAAAGGTAGGCTAGGCATTAAGGAGAAACGAAGTTCGCGGGGGCAGCTAGTGTTTTATAGAATCGAATAAGCAGTCGACGTTTCTAGCAATCAAAAGTTTATCGGGATAACCAATTATTTTTGTACGGATTCCGAATTGCGGCTTAATCATTTTTGTAGTTTGTGTACCAAATTGCTTTAGTGGTTAAGAGATTAGAAAATAATAATATTTATTTTATAATAAGGTTAAGGTAAAAATACGGTGTAATCTCTTTCGTATTTAATATGACCTTCGTAACTGTTATCTTGAGAAAACTCTAGAAGAAAATCTCTTGCACGAAAATATTGTTTGCGTTAAAAATTATTTCTTCATATTTGTTTATATAAATTTACGTGTATAATAGACTTTTAATATACCTACTCGTTGCCGTATTATCTGATTCTCACCACATTACACAAGACTTCATTACTCACACTGCTAATTTTTACTAATATTATTATTTTCTACTAAGTATTAATACATTCTTTTTCATTTGCAACTGAGGCGCGAACTAGCTGATGTGGTCTCTGGCAGAATGACCAGCGCTGTCGAACATTCTGCTCTTCAGCATAATGCTGAGCCAGGGCCAATTACAGCCACAGCACACAATCATTACATACTTTTGACGAACCGAAGCCTATACTTCGGTAATTTCCAACACGTGGGGGGATAATGTACCTACAACAAAAGACGAAACGCCGATCGAATGGAACATTTGGTGGTTTTTGTGTTCAAATTTTATGGATTATGGAATATAGCGAGTAGTATGGAGATTTTAGTAATAGTAGAAAAAAATAGCGATACATATATCCTGTAACTCCCGAATAGGGCTTCTACCCAACACAATTCTGTGTCTATTACACATTTGCTCACGCTGTATGCGTTACCATAAGGAATATTGATAGCATTGTATAGATGTCATACAAAAAGAAGTTTATCAGACATCTCCAGTATAAAGCAAACCTTCCTACCTGACTACTTAACAAGATAATCCACATTCTTCATCACTCAGTTAGGCGTGAGATAGCAGATGTTATATTATTTAGGGTCTGTTTCACAATGTACGGATAAGTTCTACATAAGTTCCAAATTAGCTATTTATTACTTATTGGTAGGATAAACACTATTGTTGCATTTCACGACTGTCAGATAGCGCTATTCGTCGCATAAAGTCCATCATAAGTTATGATTCCGATGAAGTGTCAAATAGCACAATTTATCTTCCATATAATTTATGTGTTGCATAGCTATTTGGAACTTTATCCATACATTGTGAAACAGACCCTTAATGAATTTAGTTACAGGTAAAGTTGACTGTCCTGAGTTACTAAGTACAAGTAGCGGCACGAAACTCTAGCGCTGACCGTTATTGCGCAGAAGTAAAAAATAAGGTACCTGAGGGGGGCTAGCGGAATGAAGAGCGGGCGCGCGTAGCGTCGATTGGCTCTCCAGTCGCATTCCGTCCCCCGCACCGATACGACGCCCCGCGCACATCCCGTGTACAGTCGCGTCATTAATATTATTGTTACTGTTGTTACGTTTTGTTGTTTTTTGTTACGTTTGAATTTGTTAGTGTTTTGTTGTTTGTTATTTGTTTTTAAGTTTGTTTGTGACTTTAAAGTGAATATGCCTAGAACAAATACTGTTTTGAAAAGACAAGCCAGGAAAATGGTTTATGACGTGAATTGTTTTTTAAAAAGGGAATCTAACGAATTAATTGATTCTTTGAAACAAATCCAAAGTGAGATTGACGAAGCTACAAATACTTTGTTCAGTCATTCGGATTTAGGTAATCATTAATCAAAGTGGCATATAATGTATTGCGTGCGCGACAGTACACATGCGCAGTAATCCCCTCCACGTATCGGCCAGCGCTAGACTTACGTGCCGCTGCCTATAAGGGGTGTCTTTGTGATTACATTATGTAAAGATTTGTTTAATGGCGTAAAAAAGAACTTTATATTTAGTAAGTTATAAGCTGTAAATCTTTCTCAATAAAAAAATAACTTTGCCTTGAACATACTATGCAATCACGAGCTTTAGAATTAACCACCCTTTGAATTGACTCATAATTTTCACATCAGACGGAGTTGAGATAACTCACATTATATTTGTAATGTATGTATGATTGGTAGAATTTACTGAAGCGTATATCGCTTAAAGGCAAACAATTGTATGTACATAAAATTGACGAACTTTTGTTTTTTGCCTTGGGTTTTTAAGAAATCTCATAACGAATTCATTGTACCTTAGTTTTTTTGGGAATTAAAAATCGAAAAGAATAAAAAAAAACAATTGTTATCATTTTATTTAAAAATATATATTCTATCTTATAGCAACTATACTATGACATCGCGGTGATAACACAGGATCGAACAACTTAACCAAAAACACATTGGAAAATCCATTTTCATACAAAAACAATAATCTATCCATTAAAATTACACTTTCAACCACTTGCGCTAAACATAACCTAATCAAATAGAACAAAACTATTTTTTTCCACTGGCAATCTATTGTTGTCTCTGGTATTTCACAGCTGTCAAGTCCAATATTTAAGATGGCGTCCGCAGTTTTTAAATACTCTTCGAAGGATTGACAAGATATGCCTTTCAATTTGCCTTCTTTTATTGTTGATTCTGGCGAATGCTTCTTAATTATTTCCTGTTACATAAATATTTAATTAAAAGATGTATATAATGGAGCAGTAGTTATTTATTTTTGAAGTGAAACTTTTTTAGGCGCATGAGGGTAAATTTAAAAAAAAACGTCACGAAGATGTGCAGCGTTTTTGTCTAAGAAAAGGTAGAGAGCGATTGAGAGAGAGTGAGAAGGGTGAATTACCTTATAGAAATTCTATTTTTAAAATTAAAATTTCGTAAGAGAATTTATGAAATATTAGTATTTTTTATTTTATGCAAAATAATTTATTGAAATATATATAAAATCTAGAATTTAAAAAATCTGTTTCATAGATGGGCTTGACACAGGCCAGGCCATAAATTTCCTATCCATTTTCTGACTTCACCAAACGAAGTTTGCGCATTGAATGAATCTTCACAAGTTCGCATCACCGATTGGTTTAATAATGACAATAATACCACCTAATAATTTGTATAATTAAGTTATTTTTGGCAATATTATATACTTGCCTGAAGTAAAGCTCTATACAGCAAGCTCCGGTTCGGCAACTCTTTACGAGTCGTTACTCGTTCTATAGACTGCGCTGCTAACATCCGAGCATTGCGACCCAAATTAAAACCTGTAAATATTTATCTTAATATTAAAAGAATTTTAAAAATACGTGAAATCGAATATCTTTATTAGTAGACGAGTTAAGTAAAGATCTCTTCGTGGACTTATTTGGAACTAAAATAAATAAAACTTTATTCATGACAGAAGTATGGTTGTGACAAATCGATCTAACGCTAGTCCCCACTAGGAAGCCAACGGGTAACTAGATCACAATTATTCTGTGGTACATGGTGCATGTTTAAAACATTTTTTTAAAAGAAAAAGTAGTCTTCTACGATTCACTTTCTCACTATGTTTGCTCTAAAAACCTGTTAAAATGAAAAAGACCACACTTAATAATTACCCCTCAAATGCTCAGACATAGGGAATCCATAAGAATCACCCACACCACCATAATCCCGTTGGAAGACGTCATATAATCCCCCATCCACCTCCTCACTTAGCAGATGGTAGCAACACGGCACATTGAACAGTGCGCCAACATTTTGGTCTGTTGTAAATAATCTTAAGGAATCTGGACCTAGGTTCCCGCAGGTATGAAGACCTTGAAGTATGCAATTATAAATTTATTAGATATTTTTAAGGGAATTATTGGTATTTGTAGTTGACAGAAATCGTAGTCAGCGACGATAAAGAGGATGACGGGGCACCAGCTGCCCACTGAACTATTTCCGAATCAATTAAACTTAGTGTTCGTCAAGAAAAGAGCGTATCAATTCTTTAAATGCCGGCACCGCACTCGTGAGACCATTAAGTGTCCATGGGCGGCTCTCGGCTCCTCGGCTCGGCAAACTCCTGGGAGTTGAAATCAAATCCAAAAACCAACTAGATACAATCCCCTAAAGAACTTTCTCCCAAACCTAGGGATGTGAAAAAATAATCGATTATTAAAAAAATCGATTTTAATCGATTTTTTTAAAAGTAAAAATCGATTTTTTTACGCGATTTTTATATTTAAAATAATCGTTTTTTTTTATAATTGAAAACCAATCATAATCGATTTTTTATCTGCCACCTCCCGACATAATGTCTGGTCTTTTATAACCCGGACCTCGAACTATTAGGGATATTCGATACACAACGATGTTTACAATGCGATACATTGAATCGGATTCTTTGAAGATGTATTGATATACTCGATACATTGATGTTTTTTTGTAAAACATCAAAAGGATGATAAAAGCAGTTAATTTTACAAAAACTCAAGTTTGAATGGCACACTATAATTTAAAAGTAAAATAAATTTATTCAGCAGCACAAGACTACATACAATTAAAAAGACAACAAAAATACTGCAATGTGCTACCGAAAAGGCATACACTCAGCATTTATCAAATTTCACCTAAAATCTATCAAAACGAGATTAAGTTAATTTCAATTTTGATTATTCTTAAACGTTAATTTGTGTTTATAATTTCTATTGTTAATTTTTAATTTAAAAAACCATGAAAAATAATATATTTAGGTTGTTTATTTTGAAATTAATTCAAAAATTAGGAAAAAATCGATAAAAAAAAAAACGATTATTTTTTTAAGAAAAATCGATTATTCATGCTAAAAAAATAATCGATTAATAAAAAATCGATTTTTTATGCAGAATGTCACATCCCTACCCAAACCGAGTAGTGGCCGACTGGAATAGGCTTCCGGAAAGTGTAATCAGTGCACCATCTTTGAATTCCTTTAAAAATAGATTGGATAGCTTCTCCAAATCTCAAAGTGTGTTTATATACATAATAATAATAATAATGAGTATTGTAAAAATATATAGTAAATACCAAAGGCAAATGCAAATTCTTTAAATACATTACATTGATTAACAGATAATCAAGATTTAAAATCAAAATTCACCAAGCTGAATTTGATGACGATATAATATCCACGTCTAAAACTATGCGTAGTAATAAATACTCAAAAAAAAAAAATTTAAAACTAAAAATACATGGTTACGAAAAGACAATGTCTAATAGTTGTAGTCAACTTGATATGACAGTCACTTGCTGATGAAAAGCACTCGAAACGTCAAGTTATGTAACGAGTTATATTATAAAACGTTTATAAATAAAAGTTTGTTTCAAAGAGTCATTTCTGTCATAGGTTCGAAGCTAAATAAAAACAACAATAACAACCGCTTAATTGCCTTGAAAATTATAAACAACAGAAATTGGTGGGTTACAGGACTTATTTACTAATAGATTTACTTTTCTTCAATTTATATATATATGATAGATTTAAGATAAAAAAATATTATCTATGGTAAATTAAACTTACCAGTTAATAACAATTTAACCGTTTCACATTTAAACTGATTCTGCACAACTTTTGTAAGATCCGTGTCCTTGGTAATAAAAGCTGGTGCGAATTTATGTAATTCACTATCAATGTTTGACATTTTAACTTCAGAGTTTTGATTTATTTTCTTGGCGATAGCGTGCCATTGTTTCTGTAAAAAATTATGTTACCTATATCAAAAAAAATGTTGCCAATGTTGGGTCAGACTCTAGACATTTTTCATAATACAACTCATTAGGGTGCGTCCACATCTGGCGAATATGCCGCGAATGTACAGCTCGCGAGCAGTTTGCGAGCTGCGCACGTGCATTTGTTCGTTCGCGCCGCCCGCGCGCTGTTCGCGTACGGCGGTCTTCCTTCCTTTTTTTTTTTCTCTACATTACTGACATGTTTAATGCTTAGTGCATATTCATTTTTTCTTTTTCTACAATACTGACATGTTTTGTGCTTTTGCATACAATATTTTACACTTTGACATGCCAAGTGAATAATGTTTATATTACGACTATATTTTTCAATTTCATTATTTTTTCCTTGCTTTAAGGTACACCTTAAAAATACATTTTGTATCCATTGTAAGTGTAAACATTATGCGGGTATATCTGTATTATCTGGACTATAAAAGAGACTAAGACCCCCGAGTTTGTTTCGACATTTCTTCTCAGGGCAGTCAGTTAGGAAATGTCGACTTCATCTAGTTTAGGAAGACATTGTAAAAGTGATTTATATAGTCCTACTTGCAAGAATAAACTATTTCATTTCATTTCTTCCGTCCACGCCAGGAACAGGAACTGTAAGCGCGAGAATTGAGTGCGCGCACGCCTTATACGACCCTTGCATGAGTTGCCGTGACAGCACGCGCGCAGCTCGCAAACGGATCGCGAACTGCACATTCGCCAGATGTGGACGTGCCCTTAGAATTATAGATACTATTAGCCAATATAGAACTCGCAAGAACATTAGGGCTTGTCCTCACAAGCATCTATAACCCCTAATATGCACAAAAACCTTTGTCTTTCAAAAAAAAATACGCCATCTTCTTAAATTAATGGGTTATTTTCATAGTAATTCTAATGAAGGTTTACTCTTATAAACAATATAACCATATAAAGCTATATTCAGAAATCGATAACAAATCAAGTAGTATATATAATTAGAGGGATTTAAAATTATTCTTTATTAAGATTCCATAGTCGCTTTTCAATAAATGTCAAAAACTTTGTAGAAAATCAAGACTTGTGATTAATCAAAATCATAAATTAATTACAATTTTATTATTTTCGTTGAACAACTAACCTGAATGATTTTAACCCTTTTTTCAGCATTTCTCAGCGTCTTTTCATCACAGTCAATAGTAAGACTGGGTATTTGGTACCCAAGCGACAAAGCAACCAACAAGTGTCCTTTACCACCACCTGCCTCAACACAATGTGTGGCTCCACACAAGTTATGGAGGGATGCCACATATGCTGACATTGATTGAACCTGAAATTAATTTTTAACCAAAACTGTAACCATTTTATATGCAATAAACATATCTTAATTGTAGGGAAAACATGAGGAATCCATGTTTTTGGACCAAAAAACAACAACTTGTCTCAGGTACAAAAGGCTCCATAAAGAAAATTCTAACGCAGCACAATATTGTACAGAGGTTTGACATACTGGAGTCATACATGACGCTAAGTCTTGTGACTGATCTTATGTTGAGAAAAATAAAGGGATAGAATAATAATTATATATATACTAGCTGACCTGGCAAAAGTTGTTTTGCCATGTATATTATTTCTAGGAAACATTATTTTAGTTCAATAAAAATAACTATCAACTGTAATAAAAAATAGGGGTTGATCGTAGAGGAATGAAAATTAAGTATTGTATGTATTTTTGTATAAAAAAAAACAAATTTTTTTCTCTAAAAATAAAATGTTTTTTTTTTGGGGTGGACACTGGACACCCCTTATCACTTAGGGGTTAGAAGATAGATAGAAGCAGATTCTCAGGCATACTGAATATGTATAAAAAAATTTATAACAATCAATCGAGCCGTTTTGAAGGAGTATGGGAACAAACATGTGACTTTTAAATTAAAGCTACATAGTAATAAATGTATCACTCACTTCATAACTTTTTTTACTGTTCATAAACTCGGTGACTTTTATTTCTGGTTGCATATTGCTTCCTTGTGACGTTAATAACTTCTGTAATCCTTGGGGGTTCAGACAGTACTCATTGTTAATAAGGCAGTGGTTTCGGGTAGTTTGTACCCATTTTGTTATTTCATTTTCTGAATATACTGTAAGAAAATTTTCTTTGAGATTTTTTTTTTGTATACAGTCTGAAAAAGGTTATTTTATCATTATATATTTCTGATAACTTTAAACAAAGACTACTAACAATTGTTATTTTCTGCTGCCTTCCAAAATACATTAACAGAATCAAGAAAATCAGATTTATCTAAATACTGCTGTAAATCACTTGGTAATAATCTCTCCCAATGTGACTGTGTAAAGAACTCAACCATGTGGCAGTTTGCTAGTGGTAAATAGGGAGTTAGGAATGTAATTACTGTATCCAGATTCCGTCGCAGATGTGTTACTTTGGAGTCCATCTTTATTCCTGAAAAGGATTAATCCAGTTATAATTGAGTTAGTTAAATTATTATTAAGATAAAATTCATATCAACAACGGATTTGAATTAAAATTTCATAAATTTATTTAATAAGTTATTGTTATTGAACTCATTGGGTCATAGGCTGAATCTTAGTAAGATGAGTCAAAACAATTATCCTTTCTATACTATTTGTGGTTTCAGTCATCAAATATTCAAACTTACTTATTGCTTTAGAAAGAAACTCCAGCATCATATGGCATGTTTGATGAAATTTTTAACAAGGAACAGGCTTTTCTAAACTGAGCTCTGATGGTCTCAGCCATCTTTAAAATGTCATGTTCTTCAGAATTGGTTCGAGGAAATTCGTCAATCAACTCTTTTATCTTTTGCAATTGTTTAAGAATTTTATCAGAATATTTTGGGTCTAATGTGTCATTCAATTCTAAATGATGTCTAACTATTCTCATGTAGTAACCTGAAATTTAATAAATTTATTTGAAAATTATGTCAATACACATAATCACTTTTGAAATATCTTTTCGTAAGAGACTTAAAGCTGTTGTTTAATATAATCTGTAATATAAAGTGACACAAAGATGACAGGAACAACATGAGAGAAATACCGTGGAGATGAGAATAAAAATGAAAAAGGAAAGGATTGAGATCAATAACATCTCTAATCCAATCACAGCCACAATAATGGTTCCATTTTTTCGTTTCAGCAATCACAATCAATTGAAATGAGCAGGTTTGTATCCTATCTATTTGTATATATCTAATCTTCTATCATACCTAATTCACGTCCGAGTTGAAAGCCTCTGTGATAACCTAAATGAAAACCGTCTGCATTACCAGTTTCAACTCCTTGTTGATAACCTTCCTTGTAACTCTCCTTTTCTTGAGCATCCTCACTTAAAACGATATCATCTAGAATATCATTGAAATCCCTATTTTCTGCCATTTATTTAAGTAAAGCATAACATAAACAGACAAATCTTTATAGGTTATAAAGCAGTGTTTTGAATAAAGGGTTTTAACCCCTGACTAATGACAAAATAGCGCACAGCACAATGAATATATTTTCTAAATTTATAACTTTTCTATTTCATTAAATACTCGATGAGGTAAAAATATACTTTTATAATTTATTATCATTAATACAGACATTAGTCATTAGTGATTAGACCTAAGTCGTGTAAAATGTAAATTTGACAGTTTTTTTTCCTTTCTTGGCTGCGGTTTGTTCGTCAGCCATGCAAAAAAGTTAGGAAGTGCAAATTGACAGTTAATGATTGATGGATTGTAAAATGTAAAGTGTTTGACACATAGTTTGACATTAAATTGTTTACTAACTTATTGACAATGAACAAACCTTAAAATCACGGTTCAAAACCTTTCAAGTCAAAATTTCAATCAAATCATCTAACCAAAATCTTATTGACGTTATGATATGCGAAAAGTTGTTTAATTAAAAATATTTAATTCTAAATCATTGATATTAATAAAAGACGGTAGGGGAGAAATTTAAAGTTTATAGGTTTAGGTACTCATACTTAAATTGTTAACTTTGTAATATTCACGTAGAATCATGAATTAAATTATATTGTATTTTAGGGTTCAAGAAATGGATAAAATAATTACTTTAGAAGAAGTTAAGAAGCACCGGCGGAAAAACAGCGTGTGGATAGTTATCCACAATGATGTTTATGATGTAACATCATACCTAGAAGAGGTAAAATTCTGTTGCATTAATTTAATTTCACAATAATTTTCCTTCTTATATTGTTAACTCAACCTTGACATAGTTGTTGTTTAGAAGGTCTAATAGTTATCTCGTAGTTTGGATTATATTGTAAATACGTAGCATATTTAGAAAATAATATAATTAATTGCACAAGTGAGTTCTTTTTAAGCCACCACTGCGTTGATCTTAACATCAGATCTCAGCTGGTAACTGTTTCTTCCCAGTTGTATAAAATGTAGTAATATTAGTTATAATGTAGAGCTATTATTAAATTAATAAAAAAGTAATACTTTATATAATTTTTAAAAGTTCCTATAATTTTAAGATAACATTTATTTAGCACCCTGGTGGGGAAGATGCTTTGTTAGAAGTAGCTGGTCAAGATGGTACACAAGCCTTTGAAGATGTTGGCCACAGTGATGATGCCAGGTTTGTTTTGTATTTCCCCTTTTCAAAATAGTTAATTAAAAATAAATCAGTTGTGAATACAATAACCAACTTGAAAATGTAGAATAGCAGTTACAAATGTTAACTAAATTGTTACTCAACCAAATATACCTGATAGAATAAGTCCAGTACAAACTGGAACAACACTCACTTGCTAGTATATTTGGGAATGTTCAAGTATTACGTAACACAATTTTTGGAGATTATTGACCCCCCATGTAACTCGCCGTAACGATTTTCAGTACCCAAGTACAGTACTGTACCCAAGTATAGTAAAACGTTTCGTGACCACCTAGTGACTCTTTAGTTACTATTATGTGGTGTAAGTCGAAAAAAATATTAACAATAACATGTAATTTAATCCCCGCCCGCATCGTAACGTTTCACAAAAGGACCCCCAAAATACGTTACGTAATACTTGAACGCTCCCTTATACACTGTGCCTGTTTGTTAAAAGATAAATGTAAATCTTCAGTTTGAATTACATCTTGAATAAACATGTAACTTGACATTAGAGATCTTGTTTTTTTTCTGGTGAAGTCGAGAACTTCATATTATTTAATATCACACTTGGCACTAATTTCACGATTATATTTTTATGGGACATTTGCGAAATTTTATTAGTAACTGTTTTGTTTTATTTGTAACTGTGTTAGCTATTACACATTTCAGTAAAAAATTTCACATATTCAGCAATTTTTACACTTCTAACATCTGTGGTAAAGCTTTTGTAAACCTTACATTATATCATTATAGGGAGATACTAAAGAAGTTCAAGATTGGATCACTGCCAGTAGAACAGAAATCAACATTCCTTCACACATGGTAAGTACGGAGTGCCTTTACATTACATAACAATTTTGAAAGAAAAATTTATTTGAATAAGGGTTTTTGTGGAGGATTTCTGATTTAAAGCATAATTAAAAGTCTTTATGATTGAATACACTTTAATATTGATTGATGACAATGCTATTAATAATATTTAAGGCTGGTTTAAAACTACAGTCGCTGACAATACCGTAGAGAACCAATTACCTAGATGTAGAAAAAGTAAATGTTATTATCTAAGATATATTAATATGCTTTTACTTTGAATTATTCTATGTTTTTGTGGTTACAACACAAATATACTCACCATACACTTATTGCCTACATAAACAGCACCTAAATTGTATTTTCTATATCACATTTTGTATGATTATGCAAATACTATTCAAAGTTTATTAATTTTGCTTTTTTCATCAGTAGATGCAGGCTCAACATTTTTCTATAACATACATAATATTAATTATATTAAGTATAAGTTTTCATAGAAACTTTGTAGGATAAAAGTGAGGAACAATGTTGGCCTAGTGGCTTCAGCGTGCAACTCTCATCCCTGAGGTTGTAGGTTGGAACCCCATGGACAAATGGGCTTTCTTTACACTTCAATAACGATAATCACCTGTTTGCCTTTAAAAAAAACGAATAATCACGGAATAGATACAGAAATGAGAGGCCAAGACTCCGTGGGCTGTAGCGCCGTTGTTTTTTTTATATGCTGCCTTTACTAGTAAGTGTCTAGGATCTAGAAAAACCTCTTTAAAATATTCTGTCACATGTGAAGTTTTGCCATTCATCAGACTTCATAATTTAATTATAACGACTAAATTTTTTGTAAAAATCCTAAAAAGAAAACTAAATTTGATCGATTAATAACAAATGTGGAATTTTCTTCTAATACCAGTAGCTTAAATTGTAATAAATAAAATTAATAATTTGCGTGTTCATAGAATATTTTTAGATTTCGTATCTTATTGAATAACGTCTTACAAGATAAGTTTGGTTTTACCTTTATTTCCTTGATAGTTTGATTTTATTTCTTATTTCAGTTGCAAAGTGAAGCGTAAACAAAGGTTATTATGCGTTTCTATCTTGGATTAAGTTCGTAAAAGTATTTAATATACAATATATATATATATATATATATGTAATGATCTAGTGATAAAACAGTGAAAGTTTAGTTGAAGAAAGTAATTTTATTAAATCATTCTAATCGTTATCGTAATGTATGACGTAAGCACTATAGTGGGTACTTTGATTTTCTTATTTGGTGGTTACGTAATTTTCGAGGATTCCTAAAAAATGAATACGTGTATGTAGTATTACTTTTGAGACGTTTGCTTACTTTTGCTGACAAGAGGAAGGGGGAGGGGAATAAATTCCAGTAAATCTGCTTATGTAATATTTTAACGGCCCCATATTTAATTTTACAAATTAGTAATATTATAACGGTAAGAATTCGATATAGTAGCGAAATATGTAGTTATGTACATATAGTAAATAGATACGTAAAATTGAAGTTATAGATTGATTATTTTTTAATGTAATCGTAGTTTAACCATGCTTTATCGGGAGACTTATTTTTAATTATTATATAGTTATTTAATAAATAGATATGTGCTATTTTATAAATATATAATATTTTTCTAGCCGTTCCCAACACAGCTCAGAATGTTCTATGTGCTCAAGCGTCAGGTTATTATTATTTTTTCATATTTTTAGTAATTTTTTTCTTCACTGTTTTAAAATCCTTATTATTCAGCTGTCCAAATGTACCTCATACGGATAAAGAGGAAAAAACATGGCGGACATTCGACGGATCTCCTTCAAGGTGTATAAATTTATACTTCTGTGGTAAAAACGCAATATATAAAATTTAAAATATAATATCTGTCACAGTGATCGGCTTGACAGGAGATACGAAAAGTCAAACGGGCCCACTCTTTCCACTAGTCCGTCCGTAGAAAGAAGGGTACAATCTGTTGTCGTCCCACGCGAAAGGTTTTTTTTTATTATATTAATTACCACGCAAAGTTTTGTTAGGGCGAAGTTTTAGGGGCTTTAAAAAGCTTTACTTTATCGTATACAGAAGTATTGTTTTTGTCGTATGACAATATTTAGCGCTACGAATCTGAATTCGACTGTGAATCATATCTTGGGGTTTAAAGTATTTAGTATGAAGTAACGAATAAATACTGCCAATAGACGGCGCACAGGGACGTTCTCATGTAACGTGTAATTGGAGTCTTCTCATAAAAACTAGAGTATCTAGAAATATATTTATTTTGATTGAGAAGCAGTGTTGGCCTAGTGGCTTCAGCGTGCGACTGTCATATCTGAGGTCGTAGGTTCGATCCCCGGCTGTGCACCAATGGACATTCTATGTGCGCATTTAACATTTGCTCGGACGGTGAAGGAAAACAACGTGAGGAAACTGACATGTCTTAGACCCAAAAAGTTCGACTGCGTGGGCAAGACCTAAAGAGGTTGGAGCGCCACTGATTAATTAATTTTAATTAATTAATTTATTTTGATTGTGTCAATCTCTAGACCAATAAAGAAGGACTCGATCTTTTAAGTGTGTAATCCCAGAAACGTTAATGGATTAATTATATTGACAAATACCACAAAATGAAACTTTACTTAACAAAATAGATTACCTAAGTTTTAGGTTTATATATTATTGATATACTTTTTCTCTTTTTAAGACGTCCACGCGGCCCGCCATGTGGAAGGTTATTTTTTTTGTTATCAGTAGTTAAATAGATTTTTTGTTTATTAGGCGTAGGATACGAAGGAAATCCACCCCACCACCACCACCTAGGTTGGTTTTTTTCTTTACATCGTAACACGTAGTGTCATTTAGATGTTTTAAAACGATCAACAAAGTCATAAAAACTGTACGTAGCTAGTAATAGTATACCTTCGTAAGAAATATAAACAGAATAGTAGCAGTTTTATGATATTGAATGTTATATTGCGTTCATTGCGTTATTTGTTTACTTCATTAGATTTAGACACAACAATTATTACTAACGAAACACACAAAATAATAAACAAAAAAAAAATCAAGAAAAAATAACAATTTTATTTTTAAAGAATAAGGTAAATTTTAAGTGTGTGAGTTGTGGTTGTAACTGGCCCAGGCTCAGCATTATGCTGAGAAGCAGACGTGTTCCACAGCGCTGGTCATTCTGCCAGAGACCACAACAGCTAGTTTATTACACGGTTCAATAAATCATAGATAACAATATAAATTTCTTTCACTTTCTGTTCAATGTGATATATATATTCCACTTATAGTTTCATTTAAAAAGTATTTAAAGTAAACTATGTAATTTTATTTGCCTATAGTAATATCTAAATACATATCATATTTCGTATTTTTTGGAAACAGAATTTAAATTTAAAAAATGTTTAGACTGGGAAGTGATATGTGTTTATGAAAAGATTGTTTTTAATCGTCATTTATTTTATTAATTTAAGATTTTCTTTCAGTTCCTCCCTGAAATGGGCCGTATTAGCGTTGGCTGGTGCAATCGTAATAGGCTTCGTCATTAAGAAGGCGTTGGCTAAGTAAAACTACGGGACCAATCGATAAGTTATCAAAGTGGCTGTTTTAGATATACAAATACATCTGTAGCTCTACCAGTTTAAAAAAAGAATCTACTAACATGTACGTAAGATATGTATGAAATGGTAAAAAAACCCGGAAAAAAATTGTATACATATACCGCTAAACTAAGTCATAGTTGAGCTACAGATAATGTATTCACTGACAGAACAGAATTGTTACACAGACTATATACAGTTGTATGAAACGATAGATGTCAAATATAATAGATTGTATATTCATAAACAACTCGAATTATTTTGAAACATCGTTTATATTTAAAAGAATGACGTTTTAATACCCGTTTTTTTATAATTTTTACTTGGTACCTTATACAGAGATTCTGCGAATTATATCACAGTACTTAATATATTTTTTATTATGTTAATAAATTATAAAATGCTAAAATAAATATATGTAGTTGAAAATTGTATTTTATTTAAACACACAGCTTTATATAATACTTTATTAGATTCAATATGATTAACAAAAATATATATAAAAAATGCTTTTTGGTCAAATTTGATTTCTGTTCTTAAATTAATGTTGTATATTTTACTAATAAAACTAATATTACAAGTAGCGGCACGAAACTCTAGCGCTGACCGTTATTGCGCAGAAGTAAAAAATAAGGTACCTGAGGGGGGCTAGCGGAATGAAGAGTTTCGATTGGCTCTCCAGTCGCATTCCGTCCCCCGCGCGACAGTACACATGCGCAGCAATCCCCTCCACGTATCGGCCAGCGCTAGACTTACGTGCCGCTGCCTATACTTATAAAAATACAATCAATCAATCGTAACAACTTATATACAATTTGACAGAAAGGGACAATAGATATCTATATACATATATAAAATTGTTATGTTGGTTTGTGTACGCTTCAAAAAGTTCTGCACTGATCGAGCTGAAATTTTAGCATGATAATATATAATCCGCATTAAAGATTGATTTTATCAATTTTTTTATAATTTTTTAATTTTATTTTTGTTTTTAATTTTTTTCCCCAAGTATTGCAAAATTAAACTTACATGAAATGTATTCTTTGTTTTGTTTCTCGTTTCTCAACCATTCAATCACAATGTGCCACTGCGAAGCGTGGCGGGGTACAGCTAACTTTATAAAAGACTGAAATTAGTCTGATTTAGTTTTTATGAATAAGGGGGTCTATACACTGGTTTAGCTGAGACCAACATCGCCATCACACAGACTGCTTTAGTTAGAATCGTTTAATGTAACTAATAGATCTTGGTTAAAGTTACGTGAAGTTTGCCAGTATTTGCGTGTATAGTGACACTAATATACTCAATATTGTTGATCCTTTCTACTTAAAAATTAAATGTTCGCATATATCTTGTTTGCCTTCATTGCTTTAAATGAGGAGGCAAATATTGCAAGCAATATATATGTCGCCACAAGTTGGTGAATATATGTGTATGCTTACATCGCTCTAATTGTATGAACGAAAGTGTACACCTTTCCAGCATGGAGTCATGTATCTCTGTAAGCTGAAAACTGCCAGAATTTTAACAAAGTCTATATAACAGCAATTAATACTAATAACAAAGACATGAAGTATAGGAGAAGATGTCCCTGCATTGAGAATGCGCCGGAGACGGTAGGTCGCTCAGCGTACTTGCCCATTCTTGCTGCGTACGATATTGCGTAGTATACGTAATGTTGTTCGTGTACGTTGTGGAATAGGTGGGAATATGGACCTGCAATAAAGAGCGATATTTAGTTAGATCGTAATTTCGTTAGATTTAAAATGGGATTGTAATCTACGTGCACTCCTTCATTCGTTCCTTTTTCCTTTTCTTTAGAAACACGACTTTGATTTTAAGAAAATCGAAAGTCCATATAGAATAACTTAGCAAAGGATTAATTGTACTGTGTATTAAAAGATCGCTTTAAATAAATGATTACCCGAACTATCGTTACTTATTTGGTGCTCTACACCCTGAACTCAATTAATTCGGTCAACGGGCAAGGACGCGAGCGTTTATCGTAAATTGTTCCGATTAGAGCTTAGACGCCATTTTGAAAAAGAGTATCTTTTTGCTGAACATTACAAAAATAAAATCATAAAGTATAATTCTTATATCTGCATTCTAATGAATGTGTAGGACTCGCGGAGGCCAGTAGAAAAAGACTTAAAAATGCTCACCGCTAGCGTAAACTCCTACATCTCCTCCACCGTGCTTGTTCTCATCTAGAGTTATAGCAGATATTTGCTCGTACATAAAGTCTGTGGTGTCATCTTGGATAGGGTCTCGCCGCACTATCTGGTTTGTGCCGTTTACGACCTGGATCTCATATTGACGGGAGCCAGGCCCACCAGTGCCGTACGCTATCGTCGTGTAGTTAAGGCCGTCTGCCCTTGAAGGACCGACAGTACCTGTTGGAAAAAAATTGAGATACGCTCTAGATACGAATTAATAATAGGAATAATCTAAGTTAGCACAAAAAGCTTTATTTGTGTCAGAGTAGAAATGCTTGAATTCAGAAACTTAAGGAATGAGTTTAAGAAGTTAACTGTTTTTGAACAGTTAACTTCTTAAAGTAAGTTAAAGTTGATAGCGAAAAAAAGAACCTTTAGTGAAAAAAGTGCGTGCGTACAAAGTACACATGTGAGAAGCGGAACTTCTTTGGCACACTAATTTTTAAGTTTTGTTAATATTTATACAAATCTAAAACTTTAGATTTCCGAGACCTAAGGGACTTTCCCTTAAGGGAAAGGGAAAAAGGAAGATATGTTAGGAATTTAATGAATTTAATTGTCCTTCAATAATACATTTAATTTTTTAAATTTATTTCTTCGATAAAAAAACGCATTTTAATTTACAATTCGTCATTTAAGATTTCAATAAATTATTTTGCATAAAATATAAAATACTACTTAATATTTCATAAATTCTCTTTACGAATTTTTAAGTTTATAAATAGAATTTCTAATTATGATAATTCGCCCTTCTCATTCTCTCTCAATCGGTCTCAATCACTGTCCCTTTTCTTCAACAAAAACGCTGCACATCTTCGTGACGTTTCCGTAAAAATTTTCCCTCATGCGCCTAAGGAAGTTTCACTTCAAAAAATCCAGTGGTGCTGGTGCCTCTGACAACTGTTTCTTAGATTTTACTTGTACGCACAACGGACCAAATGAGCGTCTAAGCTAAGTTTACTTGAGATATGCCGGTTTCCTGACGATGTTTCCTTCACCGTACGAGCAGGTGTTAATTGCGCACATAGAACGCACGACGTCATAGTTGGGAATTGTTCGCTTTACCTAAACTAACACTTAGGTATGTAAATGCAAGTGATGAACTTACCAAAGATATCGTCACCGCGGTTGGGATGTCCATTAATGGTCATGGAGTGCGCGTGGTCTGATGTCACCACTATTAGAGTATCACTGGGATCGGTCATGTTATAAGCGAGTTTTACAGCCTCCTCCATAGCTAAGGCTTCGTCTATGGCTGTGCGTGCTCTACCCCTATGGTGACCCATGTCTATGTTTCCACCTTCAACCTAAAAGTTATTTTAAAATAACATCCATTTGCACCATTTTTTCATTTATCGCGTTATTTTTCAATAAAAAGGTAATTAGTGTTTAATGTTAATGCTAAACTTTTTATTACTATACTGCGCAATGGAATCTAATATTACAAGAGTAACATTTAGAGCCGAGACTTTCTAGGAGACCATTTTGCCAGTTAACATTACTTGTATGGTTCCTGGGTCATTCCTCCATTATTTAAAGCACCCTGCTTGCTGGAGGATTTTATGTTTCTCTATCCACCCGCGTACAACAACAGAATATAAGCGAAATAATGAAATGTTAATTGCTATGTAACGAGTGAATGCAATTTAACCATTAAAGTAGGTAGGTAGGTAGATACTCTCGGGGCGTAACTCCCGACGATTTAGGAAATCGTCACGCTTATAAAACTAAGAAAGCCTGAGTGAAGAAAATGAACAGCCTTGGCTCGTACACTTAATTTACAAATTGCATTCAGAAAATCCTTTTAAAATATGAAAATTCTTATCATTTAAAAAGTGAAAAGTTTAACCTTTGGGTGCTAATTTGACAAATTAGCTGTCATGATTATCAACTTGAAAGTTCTTTACAAATACATTAAAACTGATTTGAAACATACGTTTTAATATCAAGCTTTTCAGAAAGTGGAAGCAGAGTTCCAGAGTCAAAATAACATACCATAAGGAAGAATCCGTTTTCATTCCGTTGTAAAACTTTTATTGCGGCCTCCGTCATGTCTACGATTGACGGCGATTCAGGTGTTCGCTGGAACTCATATGGCAAATGAGCGTTGGCAAATATTCCTGTAATACACAACCAGAATTTGTATCATTACTCTTTTCGACGTTGCACGATGTGGTCAAAATATATAGTATTCAATTGAGTATATTAATTATGAGCTGTGTTTGTTAAATTAATATAGACGTTTCAATTGTTAACTAATCATTGTAATTGCTGTAGAATCGTTTATGGTCTGAATTGTTTACTTGAATAAAAATCTAATTGAAGTGTACACAAGCAAAAGGCGCGCGTTTAGAAATTTTTGTTAGCCGCGCGCCGATACATATGCAGCCATTTTGATGTACAATCAAACGCGCGCTTTCGCAAAGAATGGACGCACGTTGACGAAAATAAACTCAAATACAAACTCAAAACACTTTATTCATAAGTAAACAAGTACACGTCTTATGAACGTCAAAAAAGAAGTTAAACTAATTGTAAATTTACATTTACTACCAGTTCGCAAGTCAAGGGCGTAGAGCGGGCAAGAAGAACTGGCAAGAAACTTTCCGCCACTGTTTTTAATCGCTAAGTTTTGAGGCATATAAATTGTTATGACTGGAGCAAATCAATCCCAAGGATTAGGATCATTTAAGTATTCGTCAAATTTATAAAACGCTTTATTGATTAATTTACGTTTAACGACGGCTTTGAATTTATTTAGTGATAATTCTCTATAATAGAGAACGATCATTTTGATACGGATTCCTTTACCGATGAAATCAAAAATATTTGGAAAGTCCCGATTATAAAAATAAAGTTTTAAGAAACGTAATTCGGAGGAGATAGTGGAAATACTGGTGAATGTGATGATAGTTTGTTTGTCCATTTCCGAACTGAGCTGTATACAGTATACCAACGCGCGTTAAACGCTACGCCGAGCGCCCAATGTGTACTCGCTCTTAACTCCGAGGTTGTGAGTTCGAATCCTGACCGTACACTTATAGGATTTTCGATCTATATGCGCAATTATACTCAATCAATCAGTGAAAGGAAACATGGTCAGAAGATCCGCACATACAATACACGTAGAAGGTTACCTTATACTTTGTATGAAATGGTAAAAAAAACCCGGAAAAAAATTGTATACATATACCGCTAAACTCAGTCATAGTTGAGCTACAGATAATGTATTCACTGACAGAACAGAATTGTTACACAGACTATATACAGTTGTATGAAACGATAGATGTCAAATATAATAGATTGTATATTCATAAACAACTCGAATTATTTTGAAACATCGTTTATATTTAAAAGAATGACGTTTTAATACCCGTTTTTTTATAATTTTTACTTGGTACCTTATACAGAGATTCTGCGAATTATATCACAGTACTTAATATATTTTTTATTATGTTAATAAATTATAAAATGCAAAAATAAATATATGTAGTTGAAAATTGTATTTTATTTAAACACACAGCTTTATAAAATACTTTATTAGATAATATGATTAACAAAAATATATATAAAAAATGCTCTTTGGTCAAATTTGATTTCTGTTCTTAAATTAATGTTGTATATTTTACTAATAAAACTAATATTACAAGTAGCGGCACGAAACTCTAGCGCTGACCGTTATTGCGCAGAAGTAAAAAATAAGGTACCTGAGGGGGGCTAGCGGAATGAAGAGTTTCGATTGGCTCTCCAGTCGCATTCCGTCCCCCGCGCGACAGTACACATGCGCAGCAATCCCCTCCACGTATCGGCCAGCGCTAGACTTACGTGCCGCTGCCTATACTTATAAAAATACAATCAATCAATCGTAACAACTTATATACAATTTGACAGAAAGGGACAATAGATATCTATATACATATATAAAATTGTTATGTTGGTTTGTGTACGCTTCAAAAAGTTCTGCACTGATCGAGCTGAAATTTTAGCATGATAATATATAATCCGCATTAAAGATTGATTTTATCAATTTTTTTATAATTTTTTTTTTATTTTTGTTTTTAATTTTTTTCCCCAAGTATTGCAAAATTAAACTTACATGAAATGTATTCTTTGTTTTGTTTCTCGTTTCTCAACCATTCAATCACAATGTGCCACTGCGAAGCGTGGCGGGGTACAGCTAACTTTATAAAAGACTGAAATTAGTCTGATTTAGTTTTTATGAATAAGGGGGTCTATACACTGGGTTAGCTGAGACCAACCTCGCCATCACACTGATTGCTTTAGTTAAAATCGTGTAATGTAACTAATAGATTATAAACAAGCCTTTATGTAAAATCTCTTATGATACATACTAGTCTTGGTTAAAGTTACGTGAAGTTTGCCAGTATTTGCGTGTAAAGTGACACTAATATACTCAATATTGTTGATCCTTTCTACTTAAAAATTAAATGTTCGCATATATCTTGTTTGCCTTCATTGCTTTAAATGAGGAGGCAAATATTGCAAGCAATATATATGTCGCCACAAGTTGGTGAATATATGTGTACGCTTACATCTCTAATTGTATGAACGAAAGTGTACACCTTTCCAGCATGGAGTCATGTATCTCTGTAAGCTGAAAACTGCCAGAATTTTAACAAAGTCTATATAACAGCAATTAATACTAATAACAAAGACATGAAGTATAGGAGAAGATGTGCCTGCATTGAGAATGCGCCGGAGACGGTAGGTCGCTCAGCGTACTTGCCCATTCTTGCTGCGTACGATATTGCGTAGTATACGTAATGTTGTTCGTGTACGTTGTGGAATAGGTGGGAATATGGACCTGCAATAAAGAGCGATATTTAGTTAGATCGTAATTTCGTTAGATTTAAAATGGGATTGTAATCTACGTGCACTCCTTCATTCGTTCCTTTTTCCTTTCCTTTAGAAACACGCGTTTGATTTAAAGAAAATCGAAAGTCCATATAGAATAACTTAGCAAAAGGATTAATTGTACTGTGTATTAAAAGATCGCTTTAAATAAATGATTACCCGAACTATCGTTACTTATTTGGTGCTCTACACCCTGAACTCAATTAATTCGGTCAACGGGCAAGGACGCGAGCGTTTATCGTAAATTGTTCCGATTAGAGCTTAGACGCCATTTTGAAAAAGAGTATCTTTTTGCTGAACATCACAAAAATAAAATCATAAAGTATAATTCTTATATCTGCATTCTAATGAATGTGTAGGACTCGCGGAGGCCAGTAGAAAAAGACTTAAAAATGCTCACCGCTAGCGTAAACTCCTACATCTCCTCCACCGTGCTTGTTCTCATCTAGAGTTATAGCAGATATTTGCTCGTACATAAAGTCTGTGGTGTCATCTTGGATAGGGTCTCGCCGCACTATCTGGTTTGTGCCGTTTACGACCTGGATCTCATATTGACGGGAGCCAGGCCCACCAGTGCCGTACGCTATCGTCGTGTAGTTAAGGCCGTCTGCCCTTGACGGACCGACAGTACCTGTAGGAAAAAAATTGAGTAACGCTCTAGATACGAATTAATAATAGGAATAATCTAAGTTAGCACAAAAAGCTTTATTTGTGTCAGAGTAGGAATGCTTGAATTCAGAAACTTAAGGAATGAGTTTAAGAAGTTAACTGTTTTTGAACAGTTAACTTCTTAAAGTAAGTTAAAGTTGATAGCGAAAAAAAGAACCTTTAGTGAAAAAAGTGCGTGCGTACAAAGTACACATGTGAGAAGCGGAACTTCTTTGGCACACTAATTTTTAAGTTTTGTTAATATTTATACAAATCTAAAACTTTAGATTTCCGAGACCTAAGGGACTTTCCCTTAAGGGAAAGGGAAAAAGGAAGATATGTTAGGAATTTAATGAATTTAATTGTCCTTCAATAATACATTTAATTTTTTAAATTTATTTCTTCGATAAAAAAAACGCATTTTAATTTACAATTCGTCATTTAAGATTTCAATAAATTATTTTGCATAAAATATAAAATACTACTTAATATTTCATAAATTCTCTTTACGAATTTTTAAGTTTATAAATAGAATTTCTAATTATGATAATTCGCCCTTCTCATTCTCTCTCAATCGGTCTCAATCACTGTCCCTTTTCTTCAACAAAAACGCTGCACATCTTCGTGACGTTTCCGTAAAAATTTTCCCTCATGCGCCTAAGGAAGTTTCACTTCAAAAAATCCAGTGGTGCTGGTGCCTCTGACAACTGTTTCTTAGATTTTACTTGTACGCACAACGGACCAAATGAGCGTCTAAGCTAAGTTTACTTGAGATATGCCGGTTTCCTGACGATGTTTCCTTCACCGTACGAGCAGGTGTTAATTGCGCACATAGAACGCACGACGTCATAGTTGGGAATTGTTCGCTTTACCTAAACTAACACTTAGGTATGTAAATGCAAGTGATGAACTTACCAAAGATATCGTCACCGCGGTTGGGATGTCCATTAATGGTCATGGAGTGCGCGTGGTCTGATGTCACCACTATTAGAGTATCACTGGGATCGGTCATGTTATAAGCGAGTTTTACAGCCTCCTCCATAGCTAAGGCTTCGTCTATGGCTGTGCGTGCTCTACCCCTATGGTGACCCATGTCTATGTTTCCACCTTCAACCTAAAAGTTATTTTAAAATAACATCCATTTGCACCATTTCATTTATCGCGTAATTTTTCAATAAAAAGGTAATTAGTGTTTAATGTTAATGCTAAACTTTTTATTACTATACTGCGCAATGGAATCTAATATTACAAGAGTAACATTTAGAGCCGAGACTTTCTAGGAGACCATTTTGCCAGTTAACATTACTTGTATGGTTCCTGGGTCATTCCTCCATTATTTAAAGCACCCTGCTTGCTGGAGGATTTTATGTTTCTCTATCCACCCACGTACAACAACAGAATATAAGCGAAATAATGAAATGTTAATTGCTATGTAACGAGTGAATGCAATTTAACCATTAAAGTAGGTAGGTAGGTAGATACTCTCGGGGCGTAACTCCCGACGATTTAGGAAATCGTCACGCTTATAAAACTAAGAAAGCCTGAGTGAAGAAAATGAACAGCCTTGGCTCGTCCACTTAATTTACAAATTGCATCCAGAAAATTCTTTTAAAATATGAAAATTCTTATCATTTAAAAAGTGAAAAGTTTAACCTTTGGGTGCTAATTTGACAAATTAGCTGTCATGATTATTAACATGAAAGTTCTTTACAAATACATTAAAACTGATTTGAAACATACGTTTTAATATCAAGCTTTTCAGAAAGTGGAAGCAGAGTTCCAGAGTCAAAATAACATACCATAAGGAAGAATCCGTTTTCATTCCGTTGTAAAACTTTTATTGCGGCCTCTGTCATATCTACGATTGACGGCGATTCAGGTGTTCGCTGGAACTCATATGGCAAATGAGCGTTGGCAAATATTCCTGTAATACACAACCAGAATTTGTATCATTACTCTTTTCGACGTTGCACGATGTGGTCAAAATATATAGTATTCAATTGAGTATATTAATTATGAGCTGTGTTTGTTAAATTAATATAGACGTTTCAATTGTTAACTAATCATTGTAATTGCTGTAGAATCGTTTATGGTCTGAATTGTTTACTTGAATAAAAATCTAATTGAAGTGTACACAAGCAAAAGGCGCGCGTTTAGAAATTTTTGTTAGCCGCGCGCCGATACATATGCAGCCATTTTGATGTACAATCAAACGCGCGCTTTCGCAAAGAATGGACGCACGTTGACGAAAATAAACTCAAATACAAACTCAAAACACTTTATTCATAAGTAAACAAGTACACGTCTTATGAACGTCAAAAAAGAAGTTAAACTAATTGTAAATTTACATTTACTACCAGTTCGCAAGTCAAGGGCGTAGAGCGGGCAAGAAGAACTGGCAAGAAACTTTCCGCCACTCTTTTTAATCGCTAAGTTTTGAGGCATATAAATTGTTATGACTGGAGCAAATCAATCCCAAGGATTAGGATCATTTAAGTATTCGTCAAATTTATAAAACGCTTTATTGATTAATTTACGTTTAACGACGGCTTTGAATTTATTTAGTGATAATTCTCTATAATAGAGAACGATCATTTTGATACGGATTCCTTTACCGATGAAATCAAAAATATTTGGAAAGTCCCGATTATAAAAATAAAGTTTTAAGAAACGTAATTCGGAGGAGATAGTGGAAATACTGGTGAATGTGATGATAGTTTGTTTGTCCATTTCCGAACTGAGCTGTATACAGTATACCAACGCGCGTTAAACGCTACGCCGAGCGCCCAATGTGTACTCGCTCTTAACTCCGAGGTTGTGAGTTCGAATCCTGACCGTACACTTATAGGATTTTCGATCTATATGCGCAATTATACTCAATCAATCAGTGAAAGGAAACATGGTCAGAAGATCCGCACATACAATACACGTAGAAGGTTACCTTATACTTTGTAGTGGCTTTATAGAAATTTTCTTACCAAATAAATAATCTGTGTCTTCCGGAATGCTCTTCAATTGTTCCGTATTATTAACGAAGGTATAGTTCAGCCCTCGGCTCTTCTTGTTCTTTTTGTAATCCTCGATGAGGTTTCTACCATCTTTTCTGGAGCAGGCCCAGTTACTAAGAGGGTCGTTTTCTAACGCCGTCGCATTTGGTATCAGACTTTGACGTCCACCTCCAAGAATTACCTAAAGATTTGACTAGAAATTAGCATAAGTGAAAAAAGGCATTTTAATTAAATAGTTTCTTACATTATAGAAATGAGCATGACAATATAAAACAATCCCCCAGTAGACGCATTAAAACCCTATCAAAATATCGCTATTTAATTATTTTTTAACACTTGAAAGAAAAACAAATGAAAATGAGGGCAACTGGCGGCCTTATCGCTTTCGAGGGATCTCTTCCAGACAACCACTGTAAAAAAAACCTTATGAAATAATAAGCAAGAAGTGCAAATACATAATACATATAGTTATTAAGACAAAACTAAACAGAAACAAAAAAAACTAAACAAAAAAAGGATACATACAAAATAAAAAGTGCACATGAATCACGATAATTAGTTACACAATATTCTCCTTTGATTGAATACGGTGTATCGTATCGTATACGGAAATATACAGTGATGCTTAGGGGTTTTCCCCACAATTTAGGGGGAATCGAGGGGTCTTGGGGGTACATTGGATGGAGATATTTACGGGGTCCTTTATTCAGAGTTTTTTTTACGTAAGATTCTATACACTTTAAATTAAGCCTAGAAACAAACAACAAACTAAACCAATTATAAACTCCACGCATAACTTAAATATCAAAAAGCTAATGATTATATAATTAATACTGCAAGTTCGAAATTTTAAACTACTTAAATGTATTTTGGATGCGTATTTAAAAGTACGAAGCGTACAAGAAGATAGTTTAGTGGTTTTTCAAGTTGGTATAGAGGGAACATTTTGTAGGAAATGGCATCACTGTGAATTCGTACATGAATTCGTGTAGGCGGTGATGTAAGTTATTTCGACTATGTATTTGCGTGTTGTTCCCACAAGAATGTAAGTGCGTGCTCCTATTTCACCATGCCTCCTGCTGATAGAGGACAAATCTTTGTTTTTAATTTATTTTATTATTATTTATTACTTAAGTCTGGACTTCACATTTCTGAATCATAATCTTTCATGATCATTTTTCAATCTAATAGGCAAGTAGGTGATCAGCCTGCTGTGCTGTGCCTGACACACACCGTCGACTTTTTGGGTCTCAGGAAAGCCGGCTTTCCTCACGATGTTTTCCTTCGCCGTTTGAACGAATGTTAAATGCGCATATAGAAAGAAAGTCCATTGGTGCACAGCCGGGGATCAAACCTACGACCTCAGGGATGAGAGTCGCACGCTGAAGCCACCATACTAGGCCAACACTGTTCAATTAATCTTTTTAAATGCGCATATCTAAGTATAATTAAAATTGCTTTTCAGTGTTCTTGCCACTCGTACTTACATTCAGATCTCGTCCAGGCCAATCTTCGATCATCTGACGGGCAATATCTTTGCAGTTGGCAGGTGTCAAGGCGTCGCACTCCCAGTTCCTATCAGAACTGAATGCGTACACTGGGGCTGGTGTTGCGTGTGTCACTCTCATCGTTGTAACAAAACCTGAAGTTATGTATGTTTGAAAGTTTTTTAACTTGCGAATAATATTGAGTTGGTAAATATAGAGGTGTATATATATATATACTAGTATCAGCTGCCATTGTATCTTTGCGATTATATTTTTTTTTCTTTGATTATTATTATTGTGTGTGTGTTTTTGTTAGTAATAAATGTTATGTCTATGTCATTATAATTTAATACCATCAGTCAAATTAGTTCATGATCAATAAGTGGTTTATTTGATTTGTCTATGTTGTTAGTTCTACAAATTAACAGACTTTTTGATAGTCTATAGTAATACAGTAGAACCTCGATAACGTAAACCTCGGTAACATAAAAACCTCTGTTACTTCAAAAAATACTATGTTCCCTTCCCATCAGAGCCCAAAACCTCTATAACTTAAAATACGCAACCTCTATAACGTAAATAAATAATCTCTGTATAGGCCCTCAGTAACTAAAAGAAATGTTTCCACAACCTCTATAACATAAAATTGTTTGTGAATGAGTCATTTTATAAGAGTGTCAAAACAAATGGTTTCGGTATTTATTGCTTGCACGTGTTTACTAATGTATTGTTAACGTAAACAATACATTACCTATTGTTTGCTTTATCTAAATCCTTCAAAGCTTTGCGGCGGTTAGCTTTGTGACAACGACTTACTTGCATCATAAGTTAATGTGTTAATGTATTCTCCTCTCTATTTGTCATTGAAAATCAAATCGATTATAAACAGTGAATTTTTTAAAACAAAAGAAAATCACAGTTTTTTTTAAGTAGACTAAACCTTTAGTTGTTGTTTTATTTTTATGTAATGTAAGTAATGTGAATAAATATGATTAAATATTTAATTTTCCATCCTTCTGATGCATTCAAGTAAAAATGGGAGGAAGGGTACATAGAAACATGTACATACCTCTATATTAGCCTTTACCTGACATAGAACCTTGATAACTTAAAACCTCGATAACATAAAATATTTTGTGTTTCCCTTGGACTTTATCTTATCGAGGTTCTACGTAGTAACTACAGTCATTATTATTAATGACAATAGCAGCTGATACCAGTGATTGCTCCGACATATAAATTGCCGTATTCTGTGGACTAAATCCCGATAGGGCAGAAACATTTTTGCGTCTACTTGGTGATATTTTTGCATTTTGCCTACGCCAATCTTTAACCTCACGACGCTAGAGACTGGGCAGATATCTTTCAACAATTGCTCCGCCATCGTCATAGCCAAGCAATTGTTTATTATTTCATGAAAAGTATGAAAAATTCTTTTCAAATTACCTGCCCCCTTTCCTGCCCTCAAAGCATGTGCTGCCAATGACTCCACCTTAGCTTCAGGTCGTAAGGATGCTTCACAATCCCCATTGGATACACTCGCGTCTACTCCTAAAGTCTTGTGATTAGTCTTGACGCCACCCAGCAAAGCTGTGGCTGTTGATGCAGAATCCGGAACCATTTTGTCCGCAGAGTATGTCTGAAATGAGAACATTACTTTTTACTCGACGATCTTGTTCTTTCTAATCATCAAAGCTTCATCCTTTGGCACTGCGTAATCTTCTATCGCATGGGGAGTGTTCCAAAGAACACTTCAGATTAATTCCTGGGGCGAAATTTCATCATCGGACGTCAGATTGAATGCAAACACCAGTTCCACCTTGACATCTGACGTTCCACGACAGAGCGCTTCTAAAGACACTTCTTTCCGCGCATCACCACATTATGGAACCAGTTGCCATTCCAGGTATTTCCAAAACGTTACGACTCCTTTAAGGGAAGAGGCCTTCAAGAGATAGCCTAGCTTAAAGGCCGGAACCGCACTTGCAAATCCTGGGGTTGCGCGTGTCCATGGGCGGGGATGAGCACTCAATTTTAAGTGACCCGCCTGCTCGTTTGCCAGGTTTAAACAGAAGTTCCATAAACAAAAAAATTGGATACCTTTAACAAACCTATATGAGGGAACTTTTCGAAGGACAACCTATGTCCTTCCCCTCCCTTGTGTATACGCGCGGCAGTCACGGTGTGAGCTCCCATCCCATCACCGATGAAGAGAATCACATTCTTGGCAACACCTAAGTTGTTTTTTATAGCCAGAGCTTCTTCTATCTCGTTTGCACCTAACTCTTCCCAGTACTGACGATCTAAAATTATGGTTTCAGTTATGATTTTGAAGTTATACTGCTTTTGGCGCGTTAGGGAAAAATTATGAGAGTAAATTTATACGATGCGCGCGCACACCGTCACAAAACCGACACCCTGAAGTTAGCATAGTCAACACTTTAAAATAAAAAATGTCCATTTCTTTAAATACTTATGTAGAAATATTCTTTTGTGATATTTAAATAAACTTTATTTAACTGTAATATGATAATGCGTTATAATAAAACTTTCAATGTATTAAATACCTTATTTCTATTGTTAGTGTCGTTTTTTCTACAAACGTAGAATAAAGCGGAAGATATTTTTTTTCTAAATAACTTCTAACGCGTATACGTAAGTACATACACATGTATTTTTAATCATTTATTTATTTTCCAGAATATTAGATTTGAATACCGTGGTTTGTAGTAATGTAACAAATAGCAGTCATCACAGGAGATGAGACAGTTAGCAAAATAAATAAACTTTTTACAAATGGAAGGTGACGCTACTACGCAACACAACTAAGTATTTTTCCACGACATCGTTAGGGTTTAGATTATTAAAAAATTAGTACGTTTTATTATTATTAACCAACAACAGAGCTGGTGCGGCTTGCGGCTTAAAAAGCTAGGCTCCAAATATGATTTTGTCCCATTCCGTGTCGAGACCCTTGGTATGTGGGGTCCTGGCGCTATAAGGCTTTTTAAGGAAATAGCAAAAAGGTTAGTCGACATCCCAGGTTACCGAAGAGCTGGCAGCTACCTCTGACAAACGCTGCCAGTATCTTCGGAACCTTGCCTTACCTCCTTTTATTAATATATTTTAGTTATTATATTTTAAGGTTGGCTATTGTTTTTTGTTATATTAATTTATGTTAGCAGTATTATGTTATTATTAGTTGATAACATTTTTATTTTATAATATTTATGATATTAAAAATAAGTATGACATATGTTACCCTGAAATGGAATGGTAAATGATATAGATATAAATTGTTTTCATATCTAGGGTAAAAGCCGGATAGTTGCCTCGGACGGATACATGCCCCGGTGTTTAAAAAACTATGTTAGGATTATAAGTTATATTGGCGCTTTACTACAATAAGTAGTGACTGCCTCTCAGGCCTAAATGCCATCGGAATAGGCCCAAGTGTTTTGTCCGTGTTAGCAAAAATCTTCCGCGGCGAAACTTTGACGGGCGTTATAATTATATTGGTAAGTAATTTCTATTGAATATTTTTATTACTGATAGTGGTTTCAGTCAACTTTTTGTTTCTTTGCATGCATTAGAGTTTAAATTACACTGTTTATCATGTTTTATTGCTAAATAATTTTTATTTAATGCAAATAAAAAGGGCAAGTATCCGCATCAAAAGGATAGTTGCCCTACTTACTGTCGCGGATAGTTGCCCTTGGAGTGACTAAAAATTTCTTAACAAGCAAAGACGGATTTTATTTTTTTGCTGTTTTTTTGATGTTTATTCGAATTTACTTTGTCTCTAACTTGTTGTAAATTAAATAAATATCTACTTCACAGTTTTATATATTTATTATAGATAAGCAAAAGCCTCATCAACATCTACTGGACAGAAGATAGCTTAGCACTTGCCTCCGAAAAATTGAGACAAAGTTGGGATTAAAGCACAACTTTATTAATGAGAGTAAAATGGCTGGACCTCAATGGCTAAAAAGCTTTCTTGAAAGAAATCCTGATATAACTTTGAGTGAAACTGAGGGTTTATCAATTGAAAGAGCGAAGGGTCTCAACAGAACAGAAGTTGCAAATTTTTTCAAACTCTTAACAACTATTTTAACTGAGAATAATTTGCTGGATAAGCCAGATAAAATATTTAACATGGATGAAAGCGGTGTCCAACTCAATAATAAAATTGGTAAAGTATTAGCTAAGAAAGGTGCTAAAGTAGTTAAATCAGTTACTTCCGGTGAAAAAGGAGAAAAAATTACTGTTGTTTCTTAATATTTCAAATTGTACTTAATAAAAGATCTCAGTAAATTATAAAGACTTAAATAAATAATAAAGATTACTCTATTTGATATAAATTTCTTTCTATCCAAAATAAAAACGCACGAGGCAAGTATCCCCGAAGCATTTTCTACGCTAGGCTAATATCCGCCATAGTAGGCAACTATCCCTTTTCTGAGAGGTGAAATAAAACAGTATTTATTCAAAACCATTGTTAATTATGTATACAAAAATAGGTTTTTATAGAAGATAAAAGACCGAGATACATATTGAATAATTTTCAGCAAATTCATATTTAAAAATATAAAGCTTTTTCGAAAAGTGGGGCAACTATCCGGCTTTTCCCCTATATCATTTACGAATTGTTCCATAACAGCATTCTTATCAGACGCTAAAACATATATAATGGTCTTTATCATAATTACATATAATATATTAAAGCGTTATCTCTTGAAACATGACATAACAATACTGATTTATTGCTGGGCTAATCTGATATTCGATAATGATAATCTTAACAGCTTACTAGCTAGAAGTAAAAATCCTTTAAGGTCTCAAATTTCTGTACCTGTTTCGTAATCATTTGTTTTTCTAATAGGCAAGTATATGATTAGTTACGTTACGTTAGTTTTTTTTTATTATTACCAACATTAGTTACGTTAGTTTTTTTTGTTTAAATTTCACAGCGACCAAAGACAATAGACCAAACCGGAAGTTTAGAGAACTTCGTTCATCATATTTACAAAAGTTATTACATTATCAGACATACACAGGTAACATTGATATATTAGGAAGGACTTTAAGAGACTTTATATGTTTTTATTTTTTAACATAAAGGAGTCATTGCGCTTATTCTCGTTACAAGATATTATTCAAAGTTCAAAATTCAAAATCATTTATTCGTTTGGGTTACACATTTTGAACGTCAATAAAGAAATTCATATTTAATGCTTCTAATTTACTGCCAGTTCTCAAATCATGGGCGAGGAACGGACGGGAAGAACTGACAATAAACTCTCCGCCACTCTTTTTAATCGCCAAGTTTTTTTGTTTAACACAATGTTTGTAAGGAGCTGCAACCATTACACCATGTTCCACGTGACATCTTAAGTAATAAATAATAATAAAATAAATTAAAAACAAACATTTGTCCTCTATCAGCAGGAGGCATGGTGAAATAGGAGCACGCACTTACATTCTCGTGGAAACAACACGCAAATACGTAGTCGAAACGCAAACAAGTAGCACCCGTTCACGAGTATGACGCATGGCCAGTCATCGGCCGAAGTGTTTAGGAACAATCCGCGGCTCAGTTAAACGTAGTCAAGTAGTGGGTCCGCGAAATAAGGGTTTTTTTAAAAACTTAAAGTTAAAATGAATACAACCGGTCCGATTTGAGGTCCGTTTAATACTGAATATTACAAGTATTCTATTATATTTATATCCTATTCTTAAAGGCCTACGTGACCGTTCTGCTGACACATTGTTCTCACGCTCTACAAGGAAACGTTACTTAGTAAGAACTAAGAGTGGTTCGTAAATCATGTAACAGCATTTCGGCTATTGAAATATAAAGGATCTTTGTACTACTATGTTGCAATGGTTTTGTTTATATAAAATATAATTATGGTGGTGACACACGAGGTTATATAACTCCTCCCTCCTTAAGAGCGAAATTATCAGGGGATTGCACATGCAAATTCTGATTATTTCGCCACTGCAACATATTAATAATCTTATTTTTTATAAAAAACACAACAATTAGCAAAATACAATAAAAGAGTGCCTAAACTAATGCTTTTCACTTTCACTGAATTGCCCATTTCACTATCACTATCTCTGTTAAGTTGTTACAGCATGTAAGACATGTGTTGCCGGTCACTGAGCTCCATTCCTTGTAAGTTTACTGGATTCTGATTTTCCTTAGAGTTCACTGTTGACTGTAACTCCAGCAGCTTAATGGATGGGATACGTTCTGATGACATATTTTCTGTATATGAACGCTGATGATGTAATTGGATGTCATTGATGTTGAGATCGCAGGGTTAATCTATAGTAATGATATATTATGTTCCCTTTATAGAGTTTCGGCTTATCTAATTTTTGCAATTATTTTGAATAATGATTTGATTACTATTATTGTACCTTTACCTCTTCTATAATTACTGTATTCTGGTCACAGTTGGATGGGTTTTCCTTGAAGGTCATCAGCTCCTCAATGCATGTCGTTTCAGGATACGGTGCCCCTGTTTTCTTGTGTGCAGAGATAATTTTCCTCAGAGACTTGTTTGCAAGGCTGTATAAGCGATAAGTATGACACCTTTCACCAGGATATAGGGATATTTAGGAATGATTATTAAGGTTAGGTTTTTAGGGTAATAGGTAAGGGATACATTTTATTACTATAAGTTGAATTGGTTATTAAAGCTACCTCTAATACAAAAGTTATTTTCCTGTCTATCATGTATGATTTAACATTAATCGTATCTTCTAATTTAACTAAATTATCCCAAGTGGGTGGATACATAAGATTTTCTGACTGTGATATATAAATTAAAATCTGTAATAAATATGTAAAACATTGGTTTTGGTGAAAGCCAAAGCAATTTCTAATTCGCTTAATTTTTATATAAAGCGTTCTAAAATTACTTACAAAAAGATTATATAAACTTAAAACATATGTAGAGTATACTGCATTATTTTCTTTAGTACTTATGTCTTTTAACATTTTTTTTTTTACACGTTTTAGTCTTTCGTCCATAATTTTTGAGTTATTGTGTAATATTTCTGATGAATTAATGAGTTCATCTAACATTTTGAAAACAACTGTTAAACGCTTGTTTGTGGAAATTTTGTTGATTACCTAATTGATTTATTAACTGTTCATATCGTTGAGCATCTTCCTGATCTAAGTTTCCAGTTATCATTTTAATAATAGAGCCTAGAGGGTTCAATATTCCTCTTCGTACTCGGTGTGAAGGGATTATTTGCCTAATCTTTTCAGTAGTTATTCTTTGCAAATACTCTACTTGTTCCCTAATTCCTAAAAATTCTTTAAACTAAGGCTTATCATCACTTACTATCTTACTAAAATTACTATATTTCCTATTGTTATATTCTAATTCCATTAGTAGGCCATTCAAATCTAATACCTTAAAAATAAGCCAGTTATCCTGTTTGATGAAGGATGTTCCCTGTCTTACGGATCCCTGAATTGTTTTCAACCTTTTGAAGTTGAAGGCCCAAGCTGGGGCTCGTGAGTGTCATCGTGATCACTAAGCACCACCTTTGGAGGTCGTTTTATGTTTTTAATTGGTACCTTTTTGTGTTTACCTCTAATTTTAATAGGGATGGTGTTTCTTTCAGGTTTTCCTGTAACTATGGCCTTTTCAAAACAAGGTTTGTACTTACTTCTACGAGTGTTTATTAATTTTGTGAAAATTGTTTTCTCTTCTGGTAACGGGACGTCGGATTCGCCACCGCGTTTTTCTCTAGAGTTTTCCTTAAACGTTAACATTTTATCAGATATGATTTTGTATAAAACTTTTATTCTTTTGGCGTGATCTTTAATTAATTTTTGCAAGTATCGTTTCTCGAAGTCTATATTGAATGCGTTTTCAGAACCTACATGGCCAAACACTACTTCAAACGGTGTTAAAGTTGTTACAGTATGAATCGCATTATTATATGCCATGATGAGTGATATAATAGATGCGGCGTCGGTACATTGTTGTTCGTATTTTGTCAGTCTGTAAATTTCAATTAAGGTGGAATGAAAACGTTTAACTATTCCCATTGAATTAGGGTTCCTAGGTGTGTCGATATGTATTTGGATTTTATAGAGTGACATCATTTCTTTCAATAGATCGTTGTTGAATTCAGTACCAGAGTCGCAGCTTATTTTCTTAGGTATGCCGTAAAATGAAAAGTATTTTATTAGTGCGCGGATAACGTCAGGTGTGCCTTTGATAGTAATTTCAATTGCCTGTCTTAGTTTGCTAAAAGCGTAAACTAAGGTGAGGTATGTTTTTCCTTCGATACTAAATATATCTATAAATAATTCCTGGGATGGGGCATCTTGCATTTGAGTTAACTGTAAATATGGTTTCAAAGGCTTTCGGTCATATTTCATTTGTTTACAGGCTTCACAAGAATTAATTACTGCTGATATAGTTTCTTTCATGTTCTTCCAAAAGAAGTGTCGCCTGATGCGTGTAAAAGTTTCTTGAATACCTCTGTGACAGGTTTTTCCGAGATGAAATTTCAGAATAACGGCTTTCTGTTTATTTTCATCGTCAATAAAAACGATTCTTTCCGTACACTCATAAAATTGAATTGATCCACCTTTAAAAAGCCTAATTACCATGTTGCTGAATTGTTTGCGATGTTCCGTATTTCCGAAATATATAAAATATTTCTTTTTGGGTTTTATGTATTCTTTCAGGAATTGTTTGATTAAATAATTACACAATTACTCAATAATTTTAGCTCACAGAATTTGATGTGAATCTAAACTTATACTTACTTTAGGGGTTGCAGAATTTCATGCACTAACCTACTTACTTCTATGTTTCTTTAATTTACTTATTACAATTTACGTTTATATGAATTTAAATCTAACAAAGTCTTAAAACTATCGTTAAGATGAGAGATGTCGATCTCAAAATAACAAAAGAAAAGTGGAGAGGGCTGGATTTGAAAGGTGAAAAGGTGACTTACCAGTACATCGCTGCCTCAACACTCGCACAAAACACCCTTAACGCTTTTGGATTTTTGTTCTTGACAAATTTATTTGTTCTTTGGAATAGCCGTTTTTAGCAATCGCGACGTAGTTTCCCCTTTTTAGGTAAGCAGAATTTGATGCTCGAACCGATAATTGAGAAGTACGTGCAGCTAGAGCGACTATCCTGTCCTCAGCGCCAGTCAAGTAGTGGGTCCGCGAAATAAGGGTTTTTTTAAAAACTTAAAGTTAAAATGAATACAACCGGTCCGATTTGAGGTCCGTTTAATACTGAATATTACAAGTATTCTATTATATTTATATCCTATTCTTAAAGGCCTACGTGACCGTTCTGCTGACACATTGTTCTCACGCTCTACAAGGAAACGTTACTTAGTAAGAACTAAGAGTGGTTCGTAAATCATGTAACAGCATTTCGGCTATTGAAATATAAAGGATCTTTGTACTACTATGTTGCAATGGTTTTGTTTATATAAAATATAATTATGGTGGTGACACACGAGGTTATATAACTACGTACAATACATGTCATCAGGTGTAAACAATAATTATTTTGTGTTTATAGTCACAAAAGGTTTACAATACCTTAATTTTAATATACGAAATTATTAACAAATTAATTCATATAAATCTATGCTTTACACAAAAATCAGATACAAAATATGTCACCAAATATCAAGGCGCACAAATATTTAATAAACTGACATCTATTTGAAAAGAAATAAAACCTTTTTACATATTTAAAAACTTTTAAAAGTTCGTATAACAACATACCTATAAAAATCTTAATTTCAATATAAACGAATAGAATAAATATGTACATATTTACAAAACATAAAAAAACACTTCTAGCATTTATTTATGTCTGTGAACGAGCGTCTAAGAAATTATTATGTACTATTAATTAGTCACATAATGCCTGTTGTAACATCGATATGAACTACCTGCACTTTTATAAAAAATATTGTGCATATTGTTAGCAACTAATATTTTTATTTTATATTGCTTATTTTCAAATAATTTCATAACACGATGTACATAACTAACCTACTCTAAATTTTCTCACTAAGTGAATGTAATTATTTGAGAAATAAAGTATCTTTGAACCGAAACGCTGAACGGCACCGTTACTCTGTAATAGCAACACCGAACCGCCAAGTTTGATGTAGTTCTTTCAATATCCGTAACGCTGATGTCGCAACCTTGGGATTCCGCGAAACAAAACTCATTCATCATTATTGAGATTGAGATCGCTTGGGAGCTACACGGGGCTCAGAAACCTTAAAAATCCTCAATATATGTTCCAGGATAAATATCGATCAATTTAATATATTATGTAAATATATGTTCCAGGCGTACCGATTTTATGCTAAATCATTTATACGAAGCTTAAATTAAACTATTACTTATATTACGTATAAGAATATGTATTATAACATGTTCCGTGGCTGGCTTACTTTTGTATTTCTGTGGATCCATGGGCCGACTTAAGTATTCTTGGACTACAATTAAATAATATATAATATAGCTAAATGACAATTTTAATTTAGTGCAATAAAACATTATATATTATTGGTTTGACGGTATATTAGACCAATAAAGAGAAATTTACAACGTTAGTACGTAACAATAATCGCTATTTGAGATTCACTGACCTCTTAAAGATTTATAAAAAAAATGCTTTCTTTATCCAAAATTAACATCAAACGAAATTAGTTTTTATAGCCAGCCAGCGTTATCAAAACTTGAAACAAACTAGACAAATTGCGGTTTATAATAAAAACGGTTGAATGCAGTTACATCATAACACGAAGTACAGAAGTATTAAACAACCGAGAGAACACATTTTTAAGTATAATGATTATTTATAAAGTTTCCATAGATTTTGTATAACAAAAAACAAACCTTTTCGTAAAACACATTGTCCCGATATTACAAACACTAATAGCACAACCACTCCACGTGCGAACATTTTGACAACTGAATTGTACTTGCAATTAATGTCAAATAAACGTTATTAGACAACTGACAGGCGTGCATCGGATTATCTGTAATTCTGACGTTATCGTTTTTATAATTATATATTTTGGTTTATTCCTTGAAACAATGTTTATGAATAATAGATAAATATGATTGAAGAGACCACTATCATTGGAACACATCTATATCTGTTTGTAATTAAATCTATAATTATTATCTAAAATATTATATACTTTACCCAATTTCCTCTAAGAAAACTATTATCACTAATAGATGTATAAATTGATATTAAGTCGTTGAAGTAATTTTGTTGGAATTGATTTGACAACTCGAAATTGAGAAAATTCAAAAGGAATACAGGGACCATTTTTTATATGTTAGTTGGTTTATAAGTTCGTACAGATCGTGAAATCTATTAAAAACTGTATTAAAAACTCCTTTTTGAAGTTAGAAAAATAGAAAGTACTGAAAATTGTATTAATATATTTTCAACATTGTTATATATTATATTATGTCTTACTAGTCCATTGAAATGTTACATTTGTTAGAGGACGCAATTTTATTTATGGGACATGTAGGGGGGAGGTCAATACAAGCTTACCCAACTTTGTGGGGTTGGCACCCTTGTCTGTGCACCCCAGCCGCCATCTTGGAAAAAGAGGTGAAAACGTGTTTTTGGCTATGTCAACGTAAAATTGTAAAAACCGTTAGATTGTAATCTATCTCGCGAGATTGTAAACTGTCGAAAAATTGTGAACTCAACGTACTGCTTACAATTTAACCTATTATTATTCGGTAGATTATAATCTATCGAAGTGAAATCGTCAAATTGTGAAATGGTACGCACCTCGCGCGCTGATTGGTTGAACGGAATATGCCACGCGCTGATTGGTTGAACGGAATATGCCATGGTGGTGACCATAGGGTTGAAGGACTCCTTTCTCCGCAATTAGACTCGAGGTTGGTCCGTTGTGCGTACCGGTGGTGACCATATTTGTTTGTTAATTCGTTTGTTGTCGAATGTAAACAAACGGTGTTTTGGTAAATGTAAATTGATGTCATCTTGAAAGTAACTCACAGCTTTAGGATGTTGAAAGTGAATGTGAAAAGTTATATGAAATTGTTGTGGAAGTAAAACTAATCTGTGATTGACAAAAGAAGTGCAGTTTGAATAATAATTAAGTTAGTGTTGGTCTCCAAACATAGTCTAAATTACATACATTTTCCGTGTTTTAATATTTTTTATTCGCGTGAACCTTTGTGATCTCGTATTTACAATGTCGGATATTGAGCCTGTCGATCAACAAAACTCAGAAATATTAGGTATTGTTAATAAGGAAGAATTTACCATAGAGTTACAAAACTATTACAGCGGGCATAATGAAAATAGTAAAAAATGTAATTGCAAAAAAATAAAAATAATGCTAATGTTCTTTGTAACTCCAGGTGCCACAACTCGTTGACGTGCAACAATAATAGAACATTTTTATTGGTGCAATTTACTTTCTTATTTTTTATATAATAGACAATTTTGTTATGTTTTCAAAAACGTTCATATGTTTTCGATTTGTTTTTTTTTTAATTTTGATTTTATTTTGTGATCGTTTTTTTCTAAAAGAAAATTTCATTAATTTTTCAATTTTAATTTGTGTTTGAAAAGAAAATATTGTTACGTTTCTGATTTTTTTATTTTGATACATTTTTTTTTCATGTGATGTCAGATGTATTGATTACCTACTAAGTAATAAATACTAATTTTTGAAGTGCATTCATTTTATTTGACCGATACCCTTGTTTCATTCCTAACTCTATGGACATATAACGGTCTACTATAAAGCCGACCAATCAGCGCGCGAGGTGCGTACCGTTTCACAATTTGACGATTTCGCTTCGATAGATTATAATCTACCGAATAATAATACGTTAAATTGTAAGCAGTACGTTGAGTTCACAATCTTTCGACAGTTTATAATCTCGCGAGATAGATTACAATCTAACGGTATTTACAATTTTACGTTAACAGCTATATCTCCTAAACTATCCATCGTACAAAAAATCGCTTTGCATTATGTCTTATGACTTTTTATCATAAAGCCAAAATTCAAAAGTTATAAGTAAAAAAGTGAACACTCCTCTTAGAAATTATTGTAAGAAACAATAATTTCTAAGAGGGAGTCCTAGTGTCCTAGTGGGAGTGCCATGCTGTTGCCTTCGGGCTTCAGCCAAATGGGCAGGCACGACCGGGGAAGTACCACTGTCTCTCAGAAAACCGGCGTGAAGTGATGCAAAAGGTTCGCCTTCTTGTACTCGCGTTTCGTGCGGTGAGAGAGATTCCCGGAGCCCATCCCCCCCACAAGAAATATGAAGGTGCAGAAAAAACAGAATCTACCCCAGGGGGTACCACACGCGCTCGCGGTGGAGAATCCCCCTCTGGGCGTCCACCACCGGGACACTCAGCACCCGGTGGTGGACGCACAGGCTGCCCTTCGTATTCTGGGGGGGCAATTCTGCGCTCTACAAAAATAATAATAATAATAATAATAATTTATTTATTGCATTTATTATTATTATTATTGATATTGAAAATAATAATAATAGTAATCGTCCTCGGGGCAAACGGAGCAATTATACAAAGGCACCCCCGTCCACACTCGCCGTGGACTTCACAAATGTTAGGGGCTTAATTCTAACATCAACGCTGTCCACTATCATCTAGAGACTGCGAAGCCGGCCTTGCTCTTTCTTACCGAGACTCAGATATCCTCCCCGGCTGATACTTCCCACCTATCCTACCCGGGGTACAAATTGGAACATTCATTTGTGCCGCGGGCTGGAGTTTGCGTGTACGTCAGAGAGGATATCTGTTCTCGTCGCCTCGGGACGCTTGAAGGAAGGGACCTATCTAACCTCTGGCTGCGCGTAGACTGCGATGACCATCCGCGATTCTACGCATGCCTGTATAGGTCCCATAGCGGAAATACCGAAACTGACCGACTCATTGAGCGCATCCAAATGGCTACAGATTCCCTGCTCGAAAGGGTTCCTACCGCTGAAATCGTGATACTTGGCGATTTTAACGCCCACCATGCCGATTGGCTCGGCTCTGAAACCACCGATCACGCGGGAAGATCCTTTCACGACTTTGCTTTAGCCTACGACCTGACACAAATGGTCCCTGCGATTACGCGAATACCAGATGTGGATGGTCATAAACCCTCTTTGTTGGACCTTCTGCTGACTTCTCATCCGGAGAACTATCAGGTCTCTGTTGACCCGCCATTGGGTTCATCAGATCATTGTGTGGTCCGGAGTACTGTGCCATCTACGCGCCCTTCACGGCCCCGCTTTATGGGTTGTCGCCGTATTTGGCACTATAAGTCAGCAGATTGGGACGGGATGCGCTCTTTCTTTGCGTCCTACCCTTGCTGGCCTATGTGCTTTTCGCCGGAAGCTCCAGATTCCGTCGCCGCCTCTGTCGCCGAAGTGGTTCTGCAGGGCATGGAACTCTTTATTCCATTTTCTGCGGTGCCGATCGGTGGCAAGTCTCAGCCCTGGTTTAAACGTTCTTGCAAGGCGGCCTCGCGTCGAAAGCGAGAATGCTTTAAGGCATGGGCGGAAGCGGCGAAATCTCGTGATGCCAATACCAGCGAACTTAAAAAAGCATATAACTCAGCCTCCAGGTCCTTCAAACGGGAAATCACTAAGGCAAAGTCAGAGCACATAGCCAGATTTGGCGAGAGATTGGCCCAACTCCCTTCAGGGACTCGAGCCTTCTGGTCTCTCGCCAAAGCTGTCCAAGGGAATTTTTGTCAGCCCGCCACTGCACAGGGAGGATGACTCTCTGGCCCACACTGCGAAGGAGAAGGCTGACCTTTTGGGCTGTCTCTTCGCGTCCAACTCGACTTTGGATGACCGAGGGAGATCACCACCGACCATTTCGCGGTGTGATTCTTCGATGCCGGAAATCACATTCCGGCAACGTGCTGTCCGCAAAGCACTATCTTCCTTGGACATTCATAAGTCGAGCGGGCCGGATGGTATCCCCCCAATTGTGCTGCGTACTTGTGCTCCTGAGTTGGCTCCGGTTTTAACGCGCCTTTTCCGGCACTCGCTCGGCACTGTCCCGAAGTGCTGGAAGACCGCTTTGATACATCCGATCCCTAAAAAAGGCGATCGCTCTGATCCGTCCAACTATCGCCTAATAGCTATAACCTCCTTGTTCTCCAAAATAATGGAATCCATTGTTAATTGCCAGCTCTTGAGGTATCTAGAGGGCCACCAGCTGATTAGCGATTATCAGTACGGCTTTCGTCGTGGTCGTTCGGCTGGTGACCTTCTTGTATACCTTACACATAGATGGGCAGAGGCAATTGAGTCCAAGGGGAGGCGCTAGCGGTTAGTTTGGACATAGCGAAAGCCTTCGATCGGGTGTGGCACAGAGCACTGCTCTCGAAGCTTCCAGAGAAATTACGCGATTGGATCTCCAGCTTTCTGGCCGATCGGAGCATCAAGGTCGTCATCGACGGAGCATGTTCCGACCTAAAACCCGTAAACGCTGGGGTCCCACAAGGCTGTGTTCTATCCCCGACCCTATTTCTTCTGCATATCAATGATATGTTGAAACTTAGCAACATTCATTGCTATGCGGATGACAGTACTGGGGATACTTTTTACACTGGCCGGGCAGGTATTTCTCGGGCAGTTGTTGATGAGTACCGGAACAAACTTGTGTCTGAAGTTGAAACTCTACTACGTGGAGTCTCAGATTGGGGCAGACAAAACCTAGTCCAATTTAACCCCAAGAAGACACAAGTTTGCGCGTTTTCCGCTAAAAAAACACCCTTTGTCGCTACTCCTCTTTTCGAAAACACTCTTCTTAAAGCCACAGCCAGCATTGGAATACTTGGCGTTGACATATCGAGCGACGTTCAGTTTTGCGGTCACTTGGAGGAAAGGCTAAATTAGCCTCCAAAAAGCTTGGTGTGCTCAGCAAGGTGAGACGGTACTTCACTCCGGGCCACCGCATGCAACTATATAAAGCGCAAATTCGGCCCCACATGGAGTACTGCTCTCACCTCTGGGCGGGGGCACTCCAGTACCAGCTCCTTCCACTTGACCGTATACAACGCAGAGCGGTTCGAATCGTCGACGACCCATCCCTCTCCGAGCGGCTTGATCCTTTGGCGTTGCGTAGAGATGTGGGGTCACTCTGCATCTTCTACCGCATTTACCATGGAGAGTGTTCAGAGGAGTTGTTCGGATTAATACCTGCAGCTGAGTTTCATCATCGGACGTCGAGGCAGAATACGAAATTCCACCCGTATCACCTCGACGTCCGACGTTCCACAACTGAGCGTTTCTCAAGGCAGTTTTTGCCGCGCACCACCACTATGTGGAACCAGCTGCCCACTGAAGTATTCCCGAACCAATTCGACTTAGGGTCCTTCAAGAAAAGAGCGTACCAATTTTTAAAAGCCGGCAACGCACTCGCGAGCCCTCTGGCATTGAGAGTGTCCATGGGCGGCGGTATCACTTAACATCAGGTGAGCCTCCTGCCCGTTTGCCCCCCGTTCTATAAAAAAAAAAAAAAAATAGTTCTTTTAAGTTCTGTAGTGGGTAAAAGAGTCAGTAATTAAAAGTAAAATTGTTGGAACTGAACAAAAATTTTCGAAAATTTGTTTAAAATAAACGAGAGATCATAAAAGTAAAGTAAAAATGTTGTTTTGACCGGCTTCTATATTAGGGTTTCTCTTCAATATGAACAATGTTGGTCATCGTGAGCATGGGTGTTGTCTCGAGTGCCACTCTCTGCGGGCAGTGGGAGGAAGGATAAAGGACCGGTTGTCACACATCCTATACACCGCTCCTCAGTCAGAATAAGCTTGAAATTCTACATCAATAACGCAATTAAAACTATTAGTGAAGACTTATGTTTTACTTACGTATTAAAAATTAAAATAAATCAGTGGCGCTACAACCTTTTTAGGTCTGGGCCTCAGATTTCTGTATATGTTTCATGATCATTAGTCAATGTCATAGGCAAGTAGGTGATCAGCCTTCTGTCCTTGAATCACACCGTCGACTTTTTGGTTCTATACATGTCGGTTTCCTCCCGATGTTTTCCTTCACCGTTCGAGCAAATGAAAGAAAGTCCATTGGTGCACAGCCGGGGATCGAACCTACGACCTCAGGTATGAGGGTCGCACGCTGAAGCCACTAGGCCAACACTGCTCAGTAATAATAAATAGAATATATTTAATTAATTAATTAAATTATGTACCATTGATATCTATGCACTGAACTCTGAAGCTTCTCTAATTTGGTAGCAGTCTGTTGTGCAGTGTGTGGTCTAGCGTGATATGATATGGATTCCTAATTGTTTTTAACAGATATTTTTTTTATGTACCCACATTAATTGATATACAAAGATATACAAACTGTATCTAAAAGAAAAAGTACTAAATCATTATTTATATACAGGTCCATCGTGTTCTTTAACATAATTTATATTCTTTCGTTACTATCTGTTGGAAATAGGACAGCTATTCATGATCTATATAGGTTACAGGACGATATAGGTCGGCTGTAACATTAAATGTTATTTGGCGATCGATGGGAATCGTCGACAGGTTTGCGCAGGACCGGTGAATCCTCTCTTAAGGCTCAGTGCAATGGTATATTGTTAGATAGAAACATTATCTAATATATAAAATTCTCGTGTCGCGGTGTTTGTGGTTAAACTCCTCCGAAACGGCTCGACCGATTCTCATGAAATTTTGTGTGCATATTGGGTATGTCTGAGAATCGGACAACATCTATTTTTCATCCCCCTAAATGTTAAGGGTAGTCCACCCCTAAATTTTTTTTTAAATTTAGATAAAAAATTTAATCTTTATTTTTTTATGATACAGCATTAATGTAAAAACATACAATCCCTGATTTTCACCCCTCTACGATCAACCCCTATTTTTTATTATAAATGATATATTATGTACATGGCAAAACGACGTTTGCCGGATCAGCTAGTATTATATATAAATGAATAAAAACATGTGTGAGTATTTATGTACACGCGTTAGAAGTTATACTTCTTTGGCGTAACAAGATAAAAATCGTTTTAAATTTTTTATCTTTCCCCCTATTCTACGTTTATAGAAAAAACTACACTTACAAAAGAAAAAAGGTTTTAATACATTGAAAGTTTTATTATAACGCATTATCTAGTTAAATAAAGTTTATTTAAATATCACAACAAAATTATTTCTACATTATGTAATAAATTGACTTGTTTTATTTTAAAAGATTAACTTTGCTAACTTCAGGGTGTCGGCTTTTTGTGACGGCGCGCATCATAAAAATTTACTCTCATCATTTTTACCTAACGCGCCAAAAGACGTATAACTTCAAAAATAAATCAATGGCGCCACCCATTTGGTAATCTAATGGCATAAGTAGGTGATCAGCCTTGTGTGCCTGACGCACGCCGTTGACTTTTTGGGTCTAAGACAAGCCAGTTTCATGTTTTTCTTTACCGTTCGAGCGAATGTTAAATGCGCATATAGAAAGAAAGTCAATTGGTGCACAGCCGAGGATCGAGCCTACGGCCTCAGGGATGAGTCACACGCTGAAGCCACTAAACCAACACTGCTACTTCTATTATACATACCATATATTTTAAATGGTTTCTGTGAAAAAACTATTTGCATTCAAGTACAAAAGTTGTTAGTTTAAGAACAAAATTTTGTACATATTATTTCGTTCAAATACCATTAAATCGTTGTCAAAAGAAAAGCTTCTCCTTAAATACAATACAATACAGAAATCGTACGATGGCTCTTCCCTAGTTCCCTTAATAAACTTGTGACGGACAAACATGTCTTCTGTAGTCTAAAGAATTAATTATTCTTTAATTAAGCCAAAGCAATATCTTTGTGTTGTGAAGTGACCAAGTGTTAATATGGTAAGTTATATGTACCAAGAAAAGAGCGTAGGAATTCTTAAAATAGCCGGCAACGCACTCGCGAGCCCTCTGGCATTGAGTGCGTCTATGGTCGGCGGTTTCACTTAACATCAGGTAACTCCTGCTCGTTTGCCCCCTGTTCAATAAAAAAAAGTTATATGTAGTTATTTTAAATTAATGATCTACTTATAAATCAATAAATCTAATGAATATTTCTTCTTTAGTACAAGAGTTAATCTTGTTTTTTTATGTATTATTGCTTAAAGTACAGAAAACACCAAGAAACCACTAAGGGGTTGTTGTACCTTGGTGCCTGAAGGGCACAGTACAAATTTTACATTTCTTAGAAACTAAAAATAAATAATACGAAAAAAATATATTTTATATCCTGTCCACCTACATAACATAAATAAAAAATAAATCAGTGGCGCTACAGCCTACAACCTCTTTAGGTCTGGGCCTCAGATTTCTGGATCTGTTTCATGATCATTTTTTAATCTAATAGGCAAGTAGGTGATATAATATAAACTTATTATTTTTATAGATTGTTGATTTTTGGTAATATAGTTGTCAAGGAAAAACATATGTAATAATTTTCTAGGCGAGGATGGAGCTTCCGGTCGTAGAAAAGTTTTGTTTCATTTTCCAATTGAAAACTGGATGTATGGCTATAGGAATTATTAGTTCGGTAAGTTTCTTATCAGCAAGGTTGTTACATTGTAAGTTCTCATATTGTGTTTTGCTTTGTGACGGTATTTTAATATGCATAAAAATTATGTTATTGAGTTTCTTTGACGGTTAGGTTAGGTATTAATATTTTGCAATTGTCTTAATTGATACAACCACTTCCGTAGTTCACTTGGCAATTGATTATTTCAACCCATAAATGAAGTTTGTATTTTATGCGTGAATAACTATCAATATGAGCGGGAATATTGTGTTAAATTAAATGTTTGTTTTATGGGGAAATTCGGTATGTGAATAAAGTTTTTATTACTCAGAAAAAAAATATTATAGGCGTTGGACCTCTTGTAAGCTGTAGTGTTTTTTGCGATTTAAGTTTAACAAGAAATATAAATAAATGATTTTTTTTTACATAATGATAATATTCTTATTATACGATAATTAATCAGACATTTGCATGCCTATTTTTATTTGGCTGATTAAGCGGATTTTATAATTAATCGATCTAAATGTACCACTTGCTTTGCAAATAAACGATTTATTTAAAATTTTAAAGTCTTCCTTGTACAACTACTAAGAAAAAATTAAATTCACACTTTAGTAGAAAAGAGCGTACCAATTATTAATAAGCCGGCAACTCGTAAGCCCTCGGGTGTCCATGAGCGGCGGTATTACTTAACATCAGACGAGCCTCCTGCCGGTTTGCCCACTGGTGCATGGTTTATTTATGATAAATAAACTTAACATTACATTTTTGAACTAGAAAATATAAGATTTTGAACTTATTTCAGCTGGTAACGTTCGTCCAAGCGGTGATACTGATAACATTTGCTGTGGACATCAAAGAAGCGTCAGAATCTAAGCGAGATGAGAATGATAGTATGTCTTCCGTCGTGTATACTATCGTTATTCTGCTGGTTATTCTGCTCTTCATCAAGTTTCTGCTGGATCTGCTATTTGTGTATGCAGTACATAAGGTATTTATTCAGCTTCCCTTCATTAGGTTCTTTTTGTCGTTAGCGCAGGGTTGGCCTAGTGCTATCAGTTCAAATTCAATTTAAACATTCATAATTTCAAGATGGCGTCTATTGTAATATATGACATTACTGTCAATGTCTCATTGTATCAAATAGCCAATTTTAAGCTATTTAATGAAATAACAGTTTTTTTGTTATATTATGGCAATAGTTTATATAACTTTATGCCAGTTTCAAGTTGGGAAGAAGTTGGGAAACATGAACGAAGTTTCCCGCGCTTTTTTTCTTTTATCAGGTTCATTTCCACGTGTAACAAGAGTTTTAGATTCACAAAAACAAAATCGAAATTACAGTTCCACATATTTCTTGGCGGGAAGAGCGTCACTGTCATCGATATTAGTATTGCACGTAAATAAAAATTAACCATAAGAAAGCGAATAATTTGAAGTCATGCAAGCTAACTTAATAATTTATTGAAATGTCTTAATAAAACAATGTATACTAGTATCCAGACAATACAGTTCAAGGCTTAAATAAATGTGACACAAACTTAGTAACAACTGATATGATATAGGTTTTGTTACCTGTACTATTAATACAACATAATATCTTTTAAGCCTAACAATCAGAACCGTTCGATAATTAAAACTTTGCCATTGTTATTAATAATACAAGAAATAAAAATAACTATATTTTAGTTGGATTTTAATTAGATGTTGAAAGATAGGAAATTATTTAGTGTACGTACCAAGAAATTTGTCTGAAATTTCAAAATGGCGACGGTAGTACCAATTTCAGCAGCCGGCCAAGAAAAGTTAGTAGCACTGTACGGGTGATTTGTTGTAAAATAAAACTTTTTATTTTAGTTTAAATTAGCCACAACTTTGAATTAATATTTAAAAATTTAAACTGTTTATTCACATTTTAGTTTATAGTATCTGCAAGGAAATTAACTTCATTTATTTTCCTTATTTTTCTTACAACAAAGTGATGGCCTTCAATGCAGATACATTTACACTACAACACATTTCCTTCTCAATCCTCTTCATACATATCAGAAGTACATAGAGTGTACATCTGTGTGCACTTTTTTGGCAAAGTCTTTCAAATCCCGCCATTCCTCTCTGCACTGTGCCACTCTCTGCCATGTACTGCTGTTTCTTTAATTTGGTCTATCCACGTTCTAAGTTGTCTCCCTCTTTTTTGTTTGCTGTACCTTGGGCACCAGTTTGGTGATTGTTTGCTCCACTTTTCTGTTCCTCTTGCTATGTGCCCTTTTTTTTCTTTTTTTTTTTTTATCCGAGGTGGAAATGCATTTGCGCATCCCCTGAACAGGGGTATGTGGGACTCAACCCACGCCAAAATCTCTGCTATTCAGAGACTGGGTGAGCAATACCCACTAAAACCACCTCGAGTAGTTCCGACAAAGCCGCGTTACAGAGGCTCCGGGGTCGCTGTCGCATTCTACCGGGACCTCAACTTGCTATGTGCCCTGCCCATTTCTACTTTAGTTAATTTATTGTTATTGTAATATCTGTTACCTTAGTTATTTTTCTTAAAGCTATATTCTTTGTTTTGCCTCTTTTCTTCTTCTTTTCTTCCCTATCATACATACTTCCATCGATATTTGTCACATCTGTAGCTTTGTATGCTGCGCTACAGAGCACTACGCTAATATAGAGTAAAGTAATAAAAATCATTTCCATCTTTGATTAGATTTCATTTCTTTTATCAGGCAATAACTTAATTTTCTGTCATTAAATTTAATATATTATGTATACTGTATGTTATAGTTAATATTTAGTAAACCAGCACTGAAGATGCCACTGTAATGCTGTGTACAGATGTAATTGGACTTCAGGTTTACAAATGTTGTTTAGTGTGTAATAACTGTATATTAAATCAATCTATTTTCTGTTTCTGTACCAAAAATGTAAAAATACTAATATATATATTTTTTTAATTTAACAAATTATTTCAGGAAAAGTGTAATATAATCAAAAAGTACTACATCTTCTGGATCGTGTTCTTGGTGCTGTTCATCATAAGCTTCCTGAAGACCTTGTTCCATATGGGTGCTGGACACGTCATTACGCAGCTTTTCTTTTTGGGTAACTTTATTTACATATACTTCGTAGGCCTGGATCCATGTGTTCAACTCGTAGCCCGATAAATACATTTATCATCATGTTTGATGGCCCAACATATCATGAAATATTTTTTTTATTACCTTCTACATGAGCTTGCTCTACTTATTTTTGAGCGGAAGATTCTTCGAAAAATCTTTGGTCCTGTTTGTGTATTTTTTAACGTTAAAAGAGAGAAAAGAGGACGCCTACCAGAAACCTGGGAAGATGAAATAAAAAAGACTTTAGATAAATGAAACACTGTTTGAAGCTGAGTAACAACTGACTTTGAATTGTTTCAAATTCATAGCTTATAACTAACATAAAATTGAAGGTAGTGGGGTTGCGACGCTAACAAAAACTAACTAAGGTTTCATATTATAAATCCAAGTGACACTTCAATACAAGTGCAGTCGACCTTTTTGTCGGAAACAAAATATTGTATTACAATTTGTGAGTGTGGAAAGAAAACTAAAGGGCTCATATTGGCTTGGTTTACGGTTTTAATTATTTACTAAAATATATATGTAACTTAACTAATTAGGTTACATGACGAATAAAGGATATTTTTATATTTATTTTACATTATAAAAAAATACAAAATTCAATTATTCAGTTGAATCACGCATTATCACTTTGAATCGTCGACTCTACCGCCTGTTCGGAATCCCGACCAGCACACAAGGATAAAGGCAAGAACCTCGGGCTAGTTCTTTTTGATCGTCTTAAGTTATTTTATTGATAGTTGTGGGAACAGCGACTTTGTTCTTATTTCTAGTGTTATAAATATGATTGTCACAATTTTATTCAAACAAGTGTATGTTTTTATGTGCATATATAATATTTTACATTTATAGATATATTGGCTATATATATATATTATATATATATTTTCGTTAAAATATTTGAGCTTGATGAGCTTTAGCGAGCCTTTGATTCGAGCTTAAATAAACTAAATATGCAATATAATTATCGAATTCCTTTCAGCCGCAAATTTCTACTTTCTCGTTATTATTCGGAGTTACTGTCTGTCGATCAACGAGGATGGCGGTCATTAAATTATCTTACAAGAAATATGAAGAAAGAGGTTTTTTTCCGAGGTTTGTCAAGTAATTAATTACATACTTAAAAAAATGTTTACACACCAATAAATACAATGTAATACAGCAAAATGAGATTTAAAAAAATGTAAAAGAAAGTTTACATTGGACTATATACTATATAGTAAGTACATAATATCCTAAATGCGTTTTTCCTTTGATGTGGTGTGGCATATAAATTTTGTAAGAAAAATTATATCGAAATGAATAAGTGAATATTATTTACAATATTAATGAACCTTATTAAGGATATTTTATTAGTTTAAGTTAGAATTAAACATATCATTTTAAATACTATAGATTTTATCTCGTAAAATTTTGTAAAATCAATCAGACTTAATCGATAAATTTGACAACTATATATCATAGTATAAGATCCCGCTATACGACGACCTTCACCGAGATGCTTATTTAATGAAACTTATTTTATATTTAATTTAATATGTCAATAAATATAATCCATATGGGTTGCCTAGCAAATTTCAGTCCAGAGTATGTTTAATTAATATTTAAAAAAAAAAATTTTTTTTATAATTAGCATGTAGTAAATTTTTTGAACTTTTTTCAATCAATATTTTCAATCAGGGTAGTATTATATATGTATCACTATAACCTTCTTTTATACTAAAGATGTATATATACTTTAGTGTCACATAAAAAATATACACATAAATAAGTAATTGATTAAAAACAACCTAACTTTTGCATATTCTATGGGCTTCATACTTTCGATTGGTATAGAATTTATCTAATAATCATACCGGTGAAATGTTTAAAAAAAATTTTTTTTTTTAAATTTATTAAAAATACTCTGGACTGAAATTTGCTAGGCAACCCATATGGATTATATTTATTGACATATTAAATTATATATAAAATAAGTTTCATTAAATAAGCATCTCGGTGAAGGTCGTTGTATATCGGGATCTTAGACCATCAATATCTCATCTTTTTGTTATGTAGATTTTACCTGATTGTGATATTATGTTGTGTAATCCAAGTTCCTAATCACACATTACGAATATTATTGATTTATTCTCTTTTTACATCACAACAAATAAATAGTTAAAATTTGACAATATTCATTATATGAAATTGGATTATAACAAAAAACAATTAACTTTATAAGGGTTAGGTTAGTGAGATGAACTAACAATTACTTCGTAAAATTACGGTCACAAAATATTTGTGAAAAATGTTTATAAAATTACATATGACTTGTATTATCTTCCCTTAAAAGTAAAACTCTTCTATAATTTTTATTACATTGACATATTTTAAACGAATAATTGAACTTTTATAAATTATATGTTCGCCTTATTGAAGTCGCGTTTCGCGCGGTGAGACTTATTCCCGGAGCCCATCACAAGTTACCAGGCAACGCGGCAGGTATATCTTAACATCAGGTGAGCCTCATGCCCGTTTGCTTAGCGGCATAGGAGGCCCTAGTACATAAAAAAATAGACATTACATAGACAAACTTTATAACGAATCCAATTATATCAAAATACTCTATAAATTACATCAGGGTCTCATTTGTCTTATTCATTACTTTGTGAAAGTAATGAAAGAACAAAGTCCAAAATATTGAATAGCTTTGTGAATCGTTATTTTTGGATAAGGGTTGTTTATTTATAACATTTTCTTCCAATATATCATTAGTATTAGAGGCCTTTATTTTTAACATTTGATTTACATATCCATAAAAATGATTTACTAGGTAACACATCAGAATGACAAAATTTAAAATATTAACTTGAGCTTCAAATGTATAACCATCGAAGATTTCGAAAATTATTTAATTTTTAATATGTAATCGAAGTAATTAGAAGTTAATGTATAGAAAACTTTGAAAATTAGTATTTGCATAGATGGGTCCACGATTGTTATAAAATAACACAGGAAATTCATTTTTATAAAAAAAATATCGCCGAAACAAAACTAATTTAAGTAAATAAATGTGGCTAAATAAACCTATAGTCTATAGTTTTTGTTAAGGTACGATTCCACCAGTGTGCTGAACTGTGCGGCACAGTGTTGCACAGCGTACGGCACAAATGTTTGTTTTGGTCGACTCATTCAAGCGAACAACATTGTGCACAAAGTGAACACATTTAATTGTGCGCGCAGTATGCCAAGTAACTTTTTGAATGATCAAAAATATATTACAAAGCACAATGAAGCTTTTCCTGTCCGTCCATATTAGCAATTGTCGGCAGAAAATCTTCTCAGTGAACAAGTGTGCAACACTGTGTTACACACAGCATTACCGATGGAGAGAGAAGCCAAACGAGATACGCGCTTAGTACGTGTTCGCTAAAGTTATGCAGAAAATATTTGTAAACAAATGTGCTGCACGCTATTTTGGTGGAATAGTACCTTTAGAGATCAAAGTAATGAAACAATATTTCGCCCCGTGGCCTGTTGACCATTATACCTATATTATGTAAGACACAAAAATAATAAAAAAGTATGTTTGTAACAAAATGTCATAAAACATTGAAAATACGTTCTCGTGGACTCAGCTTCAGTTCGTGCCATAATTGTTGAGTAGGAAATAACGACAATAAATTTGCTTTAATTAGTCCATAGTAAGAGAAGCGAATGTACCTTTAAGCAATTTTAGGTTTAAACTTTTTTTTTTCTCACTCTATTTCCAGACTTAGTATAAATTGTGTTGTTAAACCTTAAAGTTTTCATATAAATTAACTATCTGGTTAAAACGAAATATTGTACATACATAATTATTAATTGGGCCAATCCTCCATTATTTTATTGTAAATCTTTCTTTATATAATTTTTTTTATTTAATTTTAAGTTATAAGACCAAATATTAAGTTAAATATATTCGCTTCTCGTTAAAGTATATCCGTCATCGTTAAAAATATGTAAAATATATATGTCGATGTTTGTATATCCTATTTCCCTTTTCTATAAATGTACCTATCTTTCATATACTTGTTAGAAGTGATTTACAATATCGCAAAGGTCGATGCAAATAGGTTTTAATAAGTGCGTATTATTTATACCAGTGTTTCTCAACGTGGGGCACACGCTCCACATGGGCGTAATTCAATTGCTATTCAAAATTCGTTATCGATTTCCTAAAAAGACCTATTTTTTAAGTATCTTAAGTTAAAATTTCAATTATTTATCTAAAAATTATGCATGTTGAATTGGGATGTCATAAGAATTTTAGAAAGGCACAAAACAGGTTGGGAATCACTGATTTAGACTGTAGTCAATGACAATAAAACACACATATTATATATATTTCTTGTGGACCTTTCAAAACGTTTTTACAGTATTATTTATTAAACATAAATTATAATTAAAAATGGACAAATAATTATAATTAAAACTATTTTTATATTTTAATTAAGTACAACTTAAACTAAAAAACCTGCCAAAAAGTTATTGATGAATATTTTATTAAAAATCTATAAACGGACATAACACGAAATGAAACAAGAAATAAAGTTAATTTTAAAACACGTATGAAGTTTTCGGTGGATCAGTCGGGGTACATCTGTATAAATCTATATAAATTGGTGTAACCTATTTGTATGGACCTTATAAATATTTCTACGTGAGCATAACTATCGATCAATTAATGTTGTCCTATTTATTTACAAATTGTATATTTAGTATTTAGATGTATTGATGTTTGTGATTGTTGTACAATGCTTTGTTATATATACGTATAATAAACGGGTTAAAATAACGTGTTTCATTAATATTTCTACCCAGCCCTGCGATTCTGTAACTCACTTTTCGAACTCACACAGCGGTTTTCGCATCGGCGGTCGCTCTCAAATCAGTCGTGAAGCAGTCATTTTATGATTTGGCATTCTGAAAAGGTGGGAGCTTGTAGTTTATTGTTTATCAGAATGCCAAATCATAAAATGACTGCTTCACGACTGATTTGAGAGCGACCGCCGATGCGAAAACCGCTGTGTGAGTTCGAAAAGTGAGTTACAGAATCGCAGGGTTGATCACCTGTTCATATACCTAAACTTCAAAATTTGTTGGGGTCAGAATTAATAGAAATCTTTTCGAAAACATAACGTAGCTTTGTCCATCAACATCTTCTATTGCTATGCGTCAAAGATGTTAAGAGGTTATTAATAAGTTAAATTAGTTCTCAACAAATAACATGGACACCAATAGTTACAGGCTTTCTTTAAGGCGAACATATCATACACGGCCTTGTGACCTACCTTTCAATTTAAAGCTCGCCGTCGTGACCGATGATTCTTATGACGGCCTTGAGTTGGTATGGTTAAAGCTAATAACCGTAAATGAGAAGTTTAATCATATTCGATGGCTGGCCATGCGTCATACTCGTCTATATAGGATACAGGACATATATATTATATGTATATCTATATAGGATACAGGACGATGTAAGTAGGCATTTAATGTTATTTGGCAAGGCGATCGATGGGAATCGTCAACAGGTTTGCGCAGGACCGGGGAATCCTCTCTTAAGGCTCAGCCTTGCGATTCTGTAACTCACTTTTCGAACTCTCATAGCGGTTTACGCAGCGGCGGTCGCGCTTAAATCAGTCGTGAAGCAGTCATATTACGATTTGGCATTCTGATAAACAATAAACTACAAGCTCCCTCCGCTTGTCAAGACGTAATGTGAAAATGCTTAACAGAATATCATGAGTTTCCAAAACTGACGTGAGTGACGAAGGGAGCGTTGTTAGTGCGAGGTGAACTCACGGATTATCAGAATCGCACGGCAGTGCGATGTTACTATATTGTTAGATAGAAACATCGCTCATTTGTACCATATATTTTATATGGTTTGAGTGAAAAAACTATTCGAATTCAAATACAACCATACCTTTATTCTTTTTATAATGAACAATGTGTCTTTGTTATTATATATCTAAATAATTACTTTTATATATATACACCTTTATATATATGGTAATTAAATAAGATAC